TAATCTTCCTGATGTAAATTGGAAAACAAAATTAGCTACTTGTGCCAGGAGCACACATATTCTAAACTCCCTACTGGGTTTGTCTCTAAAACAAGTTGTTGAGGAGCCAACTCGTAAAGAGGCCATACTAGATTTAGTGTTAACAAATGGAGATTTAGTATCAGATGTTACTGTAGGTGAAAGTTTAGGATCCAGTGATCATGAGTCAGTGTGGTTTAATATAAGAACAGTGACTGAGTCACACCACACAAAAACAAAAGTTTTAGACTTTAGAAAAACAGACTTTTCTAAAATTAGAATATGGGTAGAGGAGTCATTATCAGACTGGAGCAATTTAAATGGAGTCCAAGAAAATGGGATTATTTAAAAGTTGCACTATTGAAGGCAACAGAAAATTGCATTAGGCTTGTCAGTAAAAGCAAAAAATTCAAGAAACCACTGTGGTACTCCGCAGATGTGGCCAAAATAGTTAAAAACAAAAAGTTAGCATTTAGGAATTATAAAAAAACCCAGAGTGAGGGAGACAAAATGATCTATAAGATTAGGCAGAAAGAGGCTAAGCAAGTTATAAGAGCTTCCAAATCACACACAGAAGAGAAAATAGCACAGACAGTAAAAAAGGGGGATAAAACATTTTTTAGATACATAAATGAGAAAAGAAAAGTAAAACAAGGATTAGTTAGATTAAAAACAAAAGAAGGAAGGTATGTAGAAGAGGATAAAGGTCTAGCTGACTGCCTCAATGAATATTTTTGTTCTGTATTTACAGATGAAAATGAAGGAAAGGGACCTCAGTTGAGAAAAAGGATAAATGAGTCATTTATTACACGTGAGTTTACAGAGGAAGAGGTTCTATTTCAACTGTCAAAAGTAAAGACAAATAAGTCAATGGGACCTGATGGAATACACCCAAAGCTATTAAAAGAGCTTAGTGGTGTACTAGCAAAACCATTAACAGATTTATTTAACCAATCATTGTTAACAGGTGTAGTCCCAGAAGATTGGAAGTTAGCGAATGTTGTGCCCATTTACAAGAAAGGTAATAGGGAGGAGTCGGGCAACTATAGGCCAGTAAGCCTTACTTCAGTAGTGGGGAAAGTGATGGAAACCATGTTAAAGGATAGGATTGATGAACATCTAAAAACACATGGATTTCAAGATCAGAGACAACATGGGTTTACTTCAGGGAGATCATGCCAAACTAATCTTATTGATTTTTTTGATTGGGTAACTAAAATTATAGATCAGGGTGGTGCAGTAGACATTGCTTACCTAGATTTCAGTAAGGCTTTTGACACTGTTGCACATAGAAGGCTTATCAATAAACTGCAATCTTTAAGTTTGGATTTCAATATTGTTGAATGGGTAAGGCAGTGGCTGAGTGACAGGCAACAGAGGGTTGTAGTTAATGGAATATATTCGAAGCTTGGACTTGTCACCAGTGGGGTACCTCAGGGATCTGTACTTGGACCCATTCTCTTTAATATTTTTATTAGTGATATTGCAGAAGGTCTTGATGGTAAGGTATGTCTTTTTGCTGATGATACTAAGATATGTAACAGGGTTGATGTTCCAGGAGGGATAAGCCAAATGACAAATGATTTAGGTAAACTAGAAAAATGGTCAGAATTGTGGCAACTGACATTTAATGTGGATAAGTGCAAGATAATGCATCTTGGACGTAAAAACCCAAGGGCAGAGTACAGAATATTTGATAGAGTTCTAACCTCAACATATGAGGAAAGGGATTTAGGGGTGATTATTTCTGATGACTTAAAGGTAGGCAGACAATGTAATAGAGCAGCAGGAAATGCTAGCAGAATGCTTGGTTGTATAGGGAGAGGTATTAGCAGTAGAAAGAGGGAAGTGCTCATGCCATTATACAGAACACTGGTGAGACCTCACTTGGAGTATTGTACACAGTATTGGAGACCGTATCTTCAGAAGGATATTGATACCTTAGAGAGGGTTCAGAGAAGGGCTACTAAACTGGTTCATGGATTGCGGGATAAAACTTACCAGGAAAGGTTAAAGGATCTTAACATGTATAGCTTGGAGGAAAGACGAGACAGGGGGGATATGATAGAAACATTTAAATATATAAAGGGAATCAACACAGTAAAGGAGGAGACTATATTTAAAAGAAGAAAAACTACCACAACAAGAGGACATAGTCTTAAATTAGAGGGACAAAGGTTTAAAAATAATATCAGGAAGTATTACTTTACTGAGAGGGTAGTGGATACATGGAATAGCCTTCCAGCTGAAGTGGTAGAGGTTAACACAGTAAAGGAGTTTAAGCATGCGTGGGATAGGCATAAGGCTATCCTAACCATAAGATAAGGCTAGGGACTAATGAAAGTTTTTAGAAAATTGGGCAGACTAGATGGGCCGAATGGTTCTTATCTGCCGTCACATTCTATGTTTCTATGTTTCTATGTTTCAGAGAAAATACAGTGTTTACATTGCCCCTAGGGACACCTCCAAGTGGCCACTGCTCAGATGGCCACTGGAGGTGCTTCCTGGCTCAGTGCTGCACAGTAAGCAGCAGTGCCTTTTAGCGTCTCCACGCTCTGCACAGAGATGCTGAATTTTCCTCATAGAGATGCATTGAATTAATGCATCTCCATGAGGAGGTCCTGATTGGCCAAAACGGCATTTGGCACCGTCCCCGTGCTGATTTTAGCCAATCCAATGCTTTGCCTATGGGGCTAAGGGGGGCAAACCACCTAAATGGTGGGTTTAGCACTATAGGGTCAGGAATACATGTTTGTGGTCCTGACCCTATAGTGATCTTTTATTAAGTAAAACACAACTTTGAATAAAAATGACATTTAATTCCATATATATATATGGAAATTTGGAATTGATATAGACAAACCAGACAACAATGTCCAATGTCAATTAGCAGTTGCTAGGGCCAGTAAGGTATTGTCATGTATAAATAGTGGCATATTTTCTTGGGATGAAAATATAATTTTTGTCTCTTTTTTAAATCACTAGTAAAACATATCTTGAAAATGCAGTGTAAATTTTGGCACCTGGAAGGGTATTATGGAACTAGAAAAAGTGCAGAGGAGAGCTACAAAATTAATAAAAGGAATGGAACATTTTAGTTATGAAAAAAGGTTAGCAAATTCACATCTATTTAGTTTAGAATAATGGTGCCTGATGGGATATGATAGCATTATATAAATATTTTTGTCCAATATAAATCACTGTCTGGAAATCTATTCATAGACAGGACTATATATAGGATACAAAGTAACACAATTAGACTGGAAGAAAGTAGATTCGGGCTAAGGCAAAGGAAAGGGTTTTTTTTACAGTAAGAACAATAAGGATGTGGAATTATCTGCCTGAAGAGGTGGTGTTATCAGAGTCTCTACAGATGTTAACCTCATATATCTTCAGAAAACACAGATGGGTTCTGAGCTATTATCTGGTCTAAACCTGAGAACACTGTCTTTGACTTGACAACCTTTTCTGTGCATGGCCTTGCTTTTCTTTCTTGACTATTCTCTCTTGATTATGTGTGATGTCTTCCATGATCTCACCTTTTTGTTGTTCTACACACTGCCAGCTATATTGTGTAGGCCGTGCTTGGCTGTCAACCACAGATCTTTTCTTTACTATATTTTGATTCTGCTTGGCAGCTGTTATCCACTTACCTTTCTAATAATGTCAGAATTTTTCTTAAAACATGCAAAACCTTTGACCTTTGTTTTCTGCGTAGTCTTTTAAGATCAGCCTAAACAGACTCCATTATATCTCTTTTGATAATCTTGTGAATTTTGTTACAAGTTTGTCCATGCTTTAAATTAACTTTTTCTCCCCCATTACTTCCAAACCCCTGTATGTATTGTATTCTAAACCATAAATTTTATTTACAGAGAAACAAAAAATTCTTAGATTACATTTTACATAATCAAACCAAGTGTCATCCATTATTTATGTGATTATCTCTAGACTGGATTTATATTGGATTTTGAGTCTTACTTTCTCCACCATTGCTTGAATATATCATGATGATGGATAGAAATCTAAGATGGTGGAGCGAGGGTGATGTAAGTAGTTGGCACAAGTAAGAAAATTACATTTAAAGGACCACAATGTGGACATAGCTTGCAAGGGAATAGCCCATAGAAATTTAGTCCTTAACATAGGTAGATGTGAGAATAAAAAGCCACATAGGCAAAGCTCATCACAAAACCAGTAGAGAGATAGAAAATGTTGAACCCTGCACTGCTGTACTCAGCTGCAGGAAAGAGCTTGTGGCTAGCCTAGAGGCTGTAGTGGAAGTGGAGAATGGTGCCTGGTGGACCACAGGTAAGAACTCAAGCTCTTTTAAACCTGTTTGATTACTTTTTTTGGAGGTTAACAATTCAATGCATTGTTTTTAGAACACGAAAACAAATTACATTGTGCACTCATTTACATTAATTTTGGCCTGTTGTTTTCTACTTTATTAAACTTTATAAGGACAGTGCACAAACAGGTACATTTGATGTTGGTTAGGATTTGTGTAATCATATAACCCAAACCAACACTTTTTACATTACTCAACCAACTTCAACCCATTTACCCATTCTTCTCAACTGCATTTGTCATTTTTACATCATTGTACCTGTTTTTGCGAGCATGGATAACAATTTCCATTTAATTACAGCTGTGATTAAATCTATACTTTAATTTTGTGATAAATTCAAGAAGTTCGGCACACAACTTGGACAAAGCAATTTGATCAAAGCAGTAACCAAACTTAAAGGGTTATTCCACTATAGTGGTTATGATGCTAGGAATACCCTGGTGCCGTTTCCCAGTAATGCAGGGTGCTGAGGGTGGCAAGTAACACACATCCAGCTTCAGCAGAACAGCAGAAACAGGAAGCCCATCTGACTGACATTCTGTGCATTGGAATTTGCACAGAATTGTAGATTATGCTAATCTAATGTACCTATAATCTTAATTTTAATAATGACAGAAGGTGAGTATTTTGCATAACTTTCTTTATTAATGCCTCCAGCAGCGCAAGTCAATCATGAAACTTTAAACCAATCAGAAACAAGTATCATATCCATATAAAGCCCTGACAGGCATAGCAGGCATAAAGCCCTGACATAGACATCCTCTTTCTTTGATGAGAAAACAGTCTATGAAAACATCAGGAAACATAACGTAGCTTTTGAATAACGTGATAACCATAACTTCGAACGGAAGAGTCCATCTTCTCCAGTTCCGGAGCCACAAATGAAGATTACACTGAAAAGAACAGAAATAAGTGAAAGATGGCGGAAATAAAATGTTGTCCACATATTGATTGTAATTTAAATTGTCAATATTAGAAAATTTATAATAAAACGTATTCGAATAATACTAAACTATATAACCAAATCACATAAAAGGTTTAAGAATATATGCAAGCTGAGCAAAAACAAAATCCTTATCATACTAGAAGCTCACTAGCAGAATAATACACAGTAACTTGATAAACTGAAACAATGGATTCCAAATATCACAAGAGTATGGGGAAGGAAATCCAGGGAGGGAAAATACTCGCCTCATGACATTATTAACATTAAGATTGTAGGTACAATATGTTAGCATAAGCTACAATTTTACTACATGACAGGAGGCTTCTTATTTTGCAATTTTAACGCTGTGGCAAAAAAGAAAAAGACACATGTGAAGTCTGGCGGAAATAAAAGATTCTGAAGGTGTCTTCCCACGTCCAATCCGTTGTACGTAGAATATATGATAGAGAGGCCCCTGCCGTGAAAGCTCGAGAAGTGGCCGCATCCCATACAGAGTGAGTGCCAAAACACGTTTCCACTCCCGCCAGATCTAACAGCCAACGTACCCATATAGCTAGTTTGGTCGTAGTCACTGGTTTGTAAAGTTTGGTATAGAAAACCAGAAGTTGGCTACATAGTAAAGACCAAAGGAGTGTAGTAACTTCCACATAACAACGCAAAGACGGTGTACCACTGGGAAAAACGAGTATGACACAGATGATGAGTCAGTTTTGGTTCTACGAGATATCGTAAAAGAGACTCCTTTTGGGGACACCGAAAAACCCATCCACATCGAACGCACGAACGTCCAAAACTCGAAAGGACACCAGACATAGAAGCAACGTGAGTTTGGCCAAGAATTGTCGGAGTGAAAAATCCGAATTATCCAGCCAATCTCAAAGGAAACAAAGAAGTAAATCTACGTCCTATAACCGATTATACCTCAGAGCTGGGGGTCTGGATAGTTTGATAACCCGCAATAAGCGACATATCAGAGGATCCTGCCTGACTGAAGTGCCTCAAAGCGGAACATGGGCCACCGAGATCGCCGAACGTATCACATTAATGGAATGATAAGACAGACCCTATGAAAAAAGGCGTGACAAAAAATTTAGCGCTGAAGTGATAGGTGCTGTAAAGGGATCGTAGTTCCTTTCCATGCACCAGCGATTCCAAGTAATTCATGCTGATATGTAGCTACGTCCACGAGTCCCATAGTAGGTCTCTAGTCGTTTGCGATAGGCCCTCGACGTACCAGGCTCCCCTCAAAGACTCCAGGCCACGAATTCTAAACGTTCTTGTAGGATCAGTGGAGGAGGTTCCCTTTTTTTGTTCATTAGAAGGTGGGGGAATGATGGAAAGAGTAGCGGATGGTCCTGAGGTAGGGCCAACAGATCCAGAAACTATGCTTGACTCTGGTGTAATGAGTATCATTGAAGTCCTGGTGATATGAAGACGATGAAGAACTCTCCCCAACATCGAGAATGGTGGGAACGCATATGCTCCTTCCGGTGGCCATGGTTGTAGAAAAGCATCTATTGCCTTGCAACGTGTGTTTGGGAGCCAACTGAAGTACCTCGGCAGTTTGTGTTCATCCGTGCGTAAAAGATCTATGTGTAGCAGTCTCGTGTTCCCCCTCAGCCTGGCAAATACCAATGTGTGCAGATGCCAGTCGCTGCTGTCTTGCCAGTGCAACGCAGTGAGGTTGTTGATCCTTGGTAGATATTCCGCTTTGATCGTAATGTAAAAATATACCATTTGAGAAAGCCCATATTGGTGAAACGCATAATGGTTATTTTATATTGTGTATATTAGATCAATTAACATTTTTTTGGTTTCTTTACTATGTCAATTCTCTTTTCATTGTATTTTTATGCACTTTTACTATTTTTATTTTCCTGGCTTTTTACTGTTGTTCCTGTACTTAAAGAAATCTGAGGTGGGGATCATACCACCAATGCCTTATTTGTGCTGCCTAGGGCAGCACAAAACCAGGATACACCACTGTGTGAAATACATAGATTGATGTGCGGACCTTTCTATTACTGTGAGGATAAGATTTGATTTCTGACTGTTTTGTACATACTTGGAATTTATTTTTAATATGCCTATATGTGGGAAATAAAGTGGAATTCTTGTTATTGATTCCTTATAAGTTGGCTTGCATGTATTGTCTCCTCTGAGTAATGGAATTGCGCCTTTATTTGTGTGAAGCTGACTCTTGGTTTAGGTCAATTTCTTTTGTAAAGTGGGTATAACTATCTTGCTTGACTAACCGCAGTGAGGCAAATGGAATTTAATAAAGTTTAAAGTGCTGTTACTTTGGCCATAGGCTACAGCATTTTTTCCTAATTCACTAACATTTTAGGATTTCCTAATGCTGTTCAAATGGTGGTGCAGAAAATCCTTGACAACTGATTTGCTTTGAGAAGAGGGCTGGGAACCACTGGATTACATAAGCGGGAGAGACAAATTGAATGTTCCAAATTTTTAAAGACCTGACCATAACAGTATGTTATTGAAGAACTTCAGATTACATTAGTAAGTTGTCTAGTAGTACAGTGCAGGTAGTCCTCACTTAGCGACTTACCTGCACAATGACTACTCGGACTTATGAACAGCTCTCTAGTGCAGGTATTCAAGGGATTCACCATGTTAGAGAGCTGGTCTATGTTTGGGGAATTTCCCCCGAACATAGATTCAAGGAATTCCCTGCGCTAGTGATTTGGTCTATGTTCGGGGGAATTCTACCGAACATAGATTTGCTTTCTAGCGCATCCTCACTTACAGACCAATTCGTTTTACCACCGAGTCATAGGAACAGAACTCACTCGGTAAGTGAGGATCATCTATATGTAAAAAAACATATGATGATTCTGATGGGAAACAATTTGATACATTTAGTACTCAGTAAATGTGATGCTTTAAAGCAGACTTCAAAACTTGGCAGTAGGTAGGGGCCAAAATTAAAATAGGCAAAACTTCTTTGTCCCATAGATAGGTTTTTAGTGTCTTAGTGTTTCTCCACTTTAATATTTTCACTCCTTACTGTGTATCATTCAGTTTCATTCTTTTACCCCCTACAGTAAATCCCCTCCTTTCATTCTTTTTCTCTTTACAGTTTTTCATCCTTTTTTCATTCTTTTTCTCCTTACTGGGTATCATTTCTGTTCATGGTTTTACTCCTCACTATGTATTTTTCCATTTAATAATTTTACAGCTTACGGTTTATTTCTCCTTACATTATTTTACCACTCACTGTTTACCACCTCCTTTCATTATTTTAGCCCTCACTGTTTACCACCTCCTTTCATTCTTTTACCCCTCAATGTTGACACCCTCCTTTCATTATTTTACTCCTGACTTTACCGGGTGAATGTGGCAGTGTGAAGGGGAGGAGAGTGTGACAGATTGATGGAGGATGAGTGTAGCAGGGTTGGGGGATGAGTGTCAGAGTGCGAGAGAAAATGAGTGTTACAGAATTTGGGACGGTTAATGTGATAGTTGCAGAGCAATGGGGAGTCAGTGCGACATGGTTGGAGCGGACGTGTGTGACAGGGTTGGGGGGTTAATGTTAGTGTTGCAGGGTGAAGAGCGTTGTCTGTGTGTGGGTGACAGTGTGTGTGGGGGTAGCAGATTGCAAGGTGTGGTGACTGTGTGTGTGGTGGGGGTGACAGTATCTGAAGGGGAGTGACAGTGTGTGTAGATGGTGACAGTGTGTAGGGGTTTGGGTGACGGTGTGACCAGCCTCCCCACAAAATACCTTTTTGTTATTGCAATAATGTATTCCCTGGTGGCCTCTTTCCCTGGTCGTCTGGTGCGCTAATTATCCGATCTGAAGCTCCTCCAGGTGCAGAGTTGCAGACCACGATTGGCTGGAGATCGCGAGACACTTACTTAAAAGTCTGCAGCTTTGCACTTGGCAGAGCTGCAGGCTGGAGACTGCGCGGGGCTCTCCCTTCTCCATGCTGACCTGCTCTCTTGGTTTCTCCCTCCTCCCTGCCAGCTCTCTTCCCGGAATCATGCAGTGGCACACCGGTAGCGGAGCAAAATAACCAGCAGGCTCAAGTTATGCACGGACAAAGCACTCGTTACACCATCTTGACTTGAAAGTAAAATAATGTAATGAGTGCTTTCCGTGCATAACTTTTTATATCCTCTAAATCAGGGGTTCTCAACCCAGTCCTCGGGACCCCCTACCAGTCCAGGATTTGGGGATTACCTGGGTGTGTCTAAGGTGTTTAGAAAAAGGGGGGAAAAAACACCTTAGACTGTAAGGTGTTTTTTTTTCTTTTTCTAAACACCTTAGACACACCCAGGTAATCCCTAAACCCTGGACTGGTAGGGGGTCCTGAGGACTAACGTTGAGAACCCCTGCTCTAACTTTTTTGCGGGCTGTCTGAAATCCTTTGGTGCCCACCAAAGGGCCTGAGGGTCGTATGCTGTGCAGGCCAGCTTTAAAGATATAATCATTTTTTAAGAATTAATGCAGTCCAATGTTTATTCTGTGACTGTCTCTGTGATTTTTTTTTTTTATATGTCTGGGATCCAATTGGTCCCAAATGTCTTTAAAATTGGTGCATTGTAGATATCTGGATCCTATACTGTACATCAGTGGGAAGAATGTAAAGAATCGCTATTGAGTAGTTATGAAATATGAATATACGAATATACATATGAATTTTATTGAAAGAGTAAAAAGTAGAAATTGCATTACAATATATACATGCAAATCATAAAAATGGACACAATAATAATAATAAATAACACAATATATACTACACATGCAAAGCCTTTTCTAACATGAAAGGCACTAAGTACCCAGGTGGGAAAGTAACACCCACCTAGGTAAATGAGTGAATTGTCATCCTTGACAATAAACAGAGTCCCAAATATCTCTGGGCAGAGATAGATAAATATGAATGACATTCCCTAATGCTAAAGCACTTGAATGTCTCTCTAACCTGAAGATATTCAAAATGGCCCTGGTTGTAATAGGTGGTGATTCTCCTCCTGGACTGTTGTAGTCCACTGTTGTTCACAGAGAGCCCCTGGCAAGGAGGTTCTCTGTGGCATCCTACCAGTGTGCGTGTTCTTTGCCTTGGGGGCCTGGACAGGAAGCCTCTAGGTTCTAGATACCTCTGCCCGATCACCGATCGGCACCCATTCGGACAGAAAAAAGATGGAAATAAATAGAAATAAGAGAAGAGGGAGAATCATATTTAATAAAAACATTTTTCCTTCACTTTATTGTTACTGTTTCTTTTTACGCAGGAAATCATTCCTTGTTTTTTTATTCTCTCTTCCTTCACAATACACCTCTGCCTACTACTTTTACCGAAATTCAGATACATGTGGTGATTACCAATACCTTTATTCTCTTGGTATTAAAGATATCCCAATTCCCTTTCCCACTGTATGTTTTCCATACTGTTTTCCTATTTCGTATCCATGAGAAATTCCTCCCCATTAAGCAACTAGGTAGCGAACATGTGGGGCAATATAATGTAGCCAAACTTTTTAAAGTACCCAAGAGGAAGGCTGTTTAACTTTTAATAGTATCCTCTAAGCTGACTTCTGAAGTGACTGAGCTACCTCTTTAGACAGAGTTTTTCACATGTTGGTGTTTTCTGAGGATGTGTCAGCAGACTATATAATAGTCTTGAAATGCCCTAACTATATTCTCTGGAAATAAAGAAGGTAAGTATTAAATTCTATGTATCTTACGTCTAGTCTTGGAACATTGCATTTCCCTCTCGTTGGAAAATCTTTAAAAAAAAGCTAAACAAATGTTCAATAAGCAAATTCACTTTGTTACATACTTATCTATATGTTTACATCTAATATACGGTAATTAGAGTTCCTATAGATACATTTTAATATGCTGAAAATTATCTCACCATTTTATGCTGTGGGTAAAGGCACTCAAAGAGTAAGTACAGTCGTGATTCGTGGGATTTGTTATGAAAATATTTTGTATACCACTGACATTACTAGCTTTACCCACTGTGGATGTGACCTAGTTTCTTGATATTTAGGCTTTTAAGGCAGTGGAGAGAAACCTAGTTACTTGCAGGTGAGCGACTCCCCTAAATAACACCCAGTCAGTATTCCATCACAGTTTTATATGCCTTTCCCTTAGTATGTCAGATGCCTTTCTGTGGTTGCTATCTACTTGTAATAGCCACATATCTGCTTCTTACTATGTTACTCTATCTATGAAACATCACCTGCATTGCCTTCCTGAATTGCCCTCCACACACAGCAACCCGTAGTGGACAGCACCGGTATTGCAGTTTTCTCACAGTTTATACCCCTGCCATTTGTATTGCTGGTATTATTGCAATACCGGCACTGACCAGGCAACCTCAAATAAATACCAGCCAGATGGCAACCCTAGATACATAGTGTTCATATAGAATGCACGGTGAGTGTCAGGAATGTTGTATGTGTGTAGCTGGTGTAGTGTGTGCATAGGGGATACATCATGTGTGTATAAGATGCACTGTTTCAGGAATGTTGTATGTGTGTAGGTGGTGGAGTGTGTATCTATAGCGCATGTAATGTGTGTGAGGGGTGTGCGGATGTGTTGGAAGTGTATTGTGCGTGGATCGGGGAGGTATGGGAGGGGAGCAGTTTAAAGGACCACTATAGTGCCAGGAAACCAAACTCGTTTTCCTGGCACTATAGGGTCATTAGGTTCCCCCCTCCTGCTGGGCTGAAGGGGTTAAAACCCCTTCAGCCACTTACTTTTCTCCAGCGCTGGGCTCCCTCTGTGCTGGGGTCAAATCCGAATGCGCATGCACGGTAAGAGCCGCGAGCGCATTCAAACCGCCCATGAGAAAGCATTAACTTTATCCCTCTCATCCCTGCATTATCCACCAGCATATCCATATCAGCCTCATAACTACAAGCCCTCTGATTGGCTGAGGATGAGGGTCCATGGATCTCCATTGCAACTCAGCCACTAAAAAGTAACAATGACATCTGGACCAGCTTTAAGAGCAATTTCATTGGCTCTCGTCAAATCGATTGTGATGTCAAGGAAGGTATAAATACGCATCACCTGTGCATGCTGGACATATTCAAGCAGATTTCAGGCGAGAAGACACAAATATAGCAAAGGCCAGACACTCTTCAATTCATTAATCATGACTGAAATGAGACCAGTAAGCCCTAAAACACGTACCATCCTCTATGGCGGACTATCAGTAGATAATGAGGGAAGATACAAATACTTGAGAATAAGAAACCAAAAAATGCCAGAGGAAAAATATATATATCCGGTAACAAGCAACCATGAATACGGATGGCAAATAGGTAAGCATAACTAGCTTTACATCTTGTCAGGTCACTGCAATGAATACTATCACTAAATCTGTTTTTAAAAAGAGTGCCTGTCATGGCACATAAAATTCAGGGTTAAATTATACCATATAAAATGAAGCTACATTAAGGGTTGTAGGATGTTAGGGAGGATCTGTAACATTCAGGGTAGTTAGGTTTAGGGGTCTTGCAGAGGGACAGGGGGCCAAGGGAGAGCACTAAGGGACAGAAAGGGAGAACACTAATTGACTATGAATTTTTTTTAACAAAATAAAGAGCTGCTCCCCTCTCAGTCCCTATCCTACCCCACAAACCCTCTCTTTTACACTACACACATACACAATTCATTCCCACACACACACACACAGAAACATACAATGCATCCTTACTCACACACAGACACACCCGAAACACACAATACATGCCTTACGCTCACACAAACACTCATTCTCTTACACACAGAAACAAAATGCACCCCTTCCAGACACACACTGCATTCAATTACATACACAGAAACACACCTTGCATCCCTTACACACACACACACCCAGAAACATACAATGCATTCCTTACACGCAAACACACACTGCATCCACTATACACACACTACATCCCTTACACAAATTGGTATTCCTGTACACTACATTGCATCCTCTACAATAACACATAAAACATCCCCTACACACATACACTCATGGGTGGGCCATGTAGGTGGATTTATGGGTGGGCATTGTAGGCATACTCACTGTCAAGCCCTGGGGGCCCAGACCTTGAGCTGTGTAAGGCGACCCAAAAAATGGCACTGCTTCCTGTTCTACACCAGACCTGTGGAGCCAGACTGAGCCCATCATCAGCCTCTTGTCCTCATCTGGTGGTAAGTAGGCAATCCAATATATTATTAGTGGCACTAATCTCTCATTTACCTCACATTAAATGGATACTATAGTCACCAGAAGCACTACAGCTTAATGTAGTAGTTCTGGTGTCTATAGCCTGTGCCTGTAGGCTTTTTAATGTAAACACTCTGTCTTTTCAGATAGAAGACACTTTGTGAAGACTGGCGTTGGCCCATATGGCAGAGCATATGGGCGGGGCATTGTGATGTCACATGGTGGGCAGGGCATATGGGGGGGCAGCAAATTATTTTTTGCCTAGGGCGGCAAAAATCCTTGCACCGGCCCTGTGTGTACCTGCCTTAAACATGCTGTGTACGGTAACTACCATGATTCTCACCTATGCAAAACCTGCATCTTGAAGGCAGGTAGCACCTATTCCTACGTCTGTGTACTCATTTTTAACCGTACATCCCACAAAACAATATTCACGCTATAACCATAACTCAAACCCTACATAACCCTTAATCTACATCACAGTGTGCCCTGCATTGTGCCACTCCTTATAATGCCACTCTCTTGATATGATTGTAATGAGGTGGTGTTATAGTGTTGCTAGAATTAATGATGGTGACATTTTTAAAGTGAATCTCATCACAGCATTTTTTGAAATTAAAGTAGTAGTTTAAGCTGGTAATTATATTACACTTCTTTGCTTGTTTTGTGATTCTAATAAAATACTTTTTTATTTCAGGAAAACCTGACAAATCTCATGCCTCAACATACAGAAGGGTTTCACTAATAAAGGATCTCTTTTATAGAAGAAATGGAGCATTGTCCCTGATAACCCCAAGACAAGTAGCATTTAAGTGATAATGTTAGTGATTTAGTAGAATAAATAGTGTTAAGATACTCCCTTGTTGTGTGTTTCTTTCACATTAATGTTAATTTACATCATAATATATCCATCAATTCTAAATTCCATAAGCTATGTGTATTTGTAATTGGATATGTGTGTGTGTATATATATATATATATATATATATATATATATATATATTTGGGAGTCCAGGCCAGCTCCTTGGTTTTGCACCCCTCCCTGTCACAGGTGCCTCATCCCAGGGCCCTATTTAGCCTTGACTTGCAGAGAGTCCCAGATGGTAAGTGGGTTAATCTCATAAGAGCAGATATTAGGCTGTTCGAGTAGAACCTGCCAAAGATGGGGTACATTGACGTTGTGGCAGGCTTATGCAATGTATAATGATATAATGTAACTAAACCCTCATTATTTTTGCCTAGATTAGGTGTTTTAAAAAAAACTAATACAATCTGTCAACATTGAAGTTGATCTTGTGTATTGTATTATATATATATATATATATATATATATATATATATATATATATACCATAACTTTTTTGGCTGCCAAACCTCAATAGCTACATTTTCTGCAACTCTGTGTGTATTTAGCAGTATGGGTTGCTTCCCTGTGGTGCAGTGGGGACTAGGTTGGCCAGGTGCATTACAAGGGCAGGAGCTGAGATAGCTACTGTGCTTTTCTACTCCAGTGCAGATACCTGTTCTCAGATCACTTCCTCCCAGTACTTGTGAACACTTCCTTCAAGTGCTGCAATGTGTAAATTCCGGATTGTCCCTCACCACCGGCAATCACCACTTGGTTTGCATTAGCAGATATCTGAAGTCCCACTGGAACTCCTTATAGTCCAGAGCCTGTTTGAATCTGGCAGCCTTGAATGCCGTGCAAAGGCACCTTGAGTGCCATAGGTTCCAGACCCCTGTAGTAAGATAAAGAAGGCACTACTCCAGACAAAACACATTGTAATTGGGGAAAATTCATTGTCTATAGAGGGTTTCGTAACCAACCTCATGCTGATAATTTGCATTAACAAAGAAAGAGCTGTCCATGAGTGGTTCACTGGCTTTGCATCTTTTCCTAAGTTGTGTTTCAAACCTGTTGTATACAGCAGACAGAACCTCAAAGGAATCCATGTTTAAAATGGAATGAGGCAAAAATTTTATTATTTGTTGAACTAATTTGCATATGCCCACCCAGAATCCTTTGCGGTAGTAACATCACTGCAGATTTGTGATTTATGTGGGAAAAGCAAGTTTTATGGTTTGACTGATGTGCAGATTTTTGTTTAACATTGTATTGAATATATATATATATATATATATATATATATATATATATATTTATCCGTACTTGCCTTGCAGACAATGTTTGGCGGATCCTTGGACACAGACCCCATAATTTATTAAAAACAAAAAAATAGAATGCCACAAAGTAGATCCAAATTAGAAGATACTTCCTTAAAGGAGCACTATAAGTTCAGTGCCTGCATGCAGAGGGTGGAGAGCCTGAATGGCAGTACTGCACAGTGTGCAGCACTGCCCAAGGAAGCAGTTCTACTAGCCATATGAGGAGAGGTCAGTGAAGTTCTAGGCTGTAATGTAAACACTGCATTTTCTCTGAAAAGATAATGTTTACAGTAAAAAGCCTGAAGGGAATGATTCTACTCACCAGAACAAATGCAATAAGCTGTAGTTGTTCTGGTGACTATAGTGTCCCTTTAATATAATGGGGCAAATGGTTTGCTTTGTTCTCCGGGTCACATGCTTGCAGCTTCTGCAGAAGCCAATTCAGTCGCCGTTCATTGGCTGAGAGCACCAGTTGACCGTTCTCAGCCAATGAATGCCACACTGTGGAAAAAGAAATTGCACAAATTTGACATAAGCCAGCTCAAATGATCTCCAAATTTTCTTCATTAAAATCAGAATAGAAAAAGTGAGTTTGAGAATATTTTCAAATCAGCTATTTTTACAGTTTTTTTTTAATTATGGATTTAATTTATGAAAATTCTGAGTTTTGTGAATAACCTGTCATTTGGATATAGTGCTGTATTTGTGTACAGTGTTTTTGAAGGCAGTGTTGCATTCATTGTATTCAGTGAGAAATGCAAAAAAAAAAAAGAAACAAATATGAACACTAACTTTGACCAGGGTTTGTGGCTACTAAAAAGAGTGGACATACCCCATTTTGAATACCCTGGGTAGTCTACATTTGCAAGGGAAATGCCATTAAGGGAGTAATTTTCATTCCATATGGTCTCAATGACAACAATAACCCAATCTGGCAAATTTCAAAACTGAAATTGGCAAGCCCTATATTTGACCCTGTAACTTTCCAAAACAGCATGAAACCTATACGTGGGGTACATTGATGTATATGTGGGACATCAAAGCATACAAATATGTGTATTTTATTCATATTAAATTATTTTAAAACCGCATTTTAAAACATATTTTAAACACTGGCCAAAGTTAGTGTTAATATTTGAAAATGCAAAAAACTAATTTAAATGTCAATTTTGGCCAGTGTTTGTGACTAAGTGGCTACGAAAAAAGACTGAACATACCCCATTTGCAATACCTTGGGTTGTCTACTTTTGCAAATGGTATGCCATTATGGGGGTAAGTCTTATTCCTGGGCTACCGTACGGTCTCAGAGGCAACGTAACCAACCTGGCGAATTTCAATGTGAAAAACCTGAAACTCAACCCTTATATTTGACTCTCTGCCCTTGAAAACACTATAAAACCTGTTCATGAGGGGTACTGTTATACTCGGGAGACTTCGCTGAACACAAATATTACTGTTTCGCCCGCCGTCCTTAAGGGGTTAAAGATGTATTTTCTCTGAAATCTTGCTTTCTGCATATGACTGATTTCTGTCTTTAAAAGGGGCTCCCTGCCCCCTGATTAAACATCCCTGAGTTTTCCCTCAACCTGGAAACTTGTGTCTGGTGTGAAATACTTTAGGAGCGTGCACGCATCACATATCAATAGTTTGGACCGGGGCAGATATTCAAATAATCAAACACTTGATTTTAATCCGCGACAATTACAATTTCCCTCTTTATTTGACCCCAAGGCTCCCCCAGGCGTGGGAGGTATGTCCAGATATGCTAGTCAAAATCTGTGGGTCTTTTATTAATTCCTTCACCACGGTTCTCATAGACAGGGCAAGCCAGGGGTCACAGGAGGAATGTTCCTTCACCAGTTAAACAGCTCTGTAGGTGTCAGAGGTTGAGGAAGCTGGCATGTAAGTTAAGGTACAACCAACATGAGGTCTTGATTTACACAAGAATGATAGAAGACAGGAGAAGAACTTAAAAATCATCATTATTATAAATATTGCGATAAGTAAGAAATACAATATTTTCTTAATTAACATACTGAGCCATGTACCAAGACCAAACGTCTGATTCCCAATCCCCAAAGAACCCTGTATCTTGTTTTAATTCCTTCACTAGATCATGCAGAATCTGTATATGCTCATGGATCATGGTCCCATGATCCGAAAGATTAAAGCAACACATGCCCTTTACTGCCTCACACCCTAAATCATGTTTCATTAACAAATCATGTTAGTGTAGTGAATGCAGAGTGTGTTAGTGTAGTGAATCTAGGGTGTGTTAGTGTAGTGAATGCAAAGTGTGTGTTAGTGTAGTGAATGCAGAGTGTGTGTTAGTGTAATGAATCCAGGGTGTGTGTTAGTGTAGTGAATGCAAAGTGTGTGTTAGTGTAGTGAATGCAGAGTGTGTGTTAGTGTAATGAATCCAGGGTGTGTTAGTGTAGTGAATCCAGGGTGTGTTAGTGTAGTGAATGCAAAGTGTGTGTTAGTGTAGTGAATGCATAGTGTGTGTTAATGCAGTGAATGTAGAATGTGTGTTTACTAGTGTATGCATGTTGTGCAAATGGAGCATTTTCCCCTGCCCCACATTAAATGTAATAAATGTTATTCCCCCCTCACTGCTTCTTACCTGGTTCAGGGAGGGGGGAGATTCCATCCCTGGTGGTCCAGTGGCATTGTGGGGCCTCCCGGCTCCCTGTATTTCCAGAGGGGGCCCAGCAGACTGCAGCAGTACTTTACAGCTCTTCCCTCTTTCTAACACCCGCGAGCGTGGCTTGCGTGCCGCGCGGGGTGTTGCCATGGTAACCCATGGCAACACGCTGACGACCGCAGGTCTCGTGGGAGTTAGAGAGAGGGAAGAGCTTTAAAGTACTGCTGCAGTCTGCTGGGCCCCCTCTGGAAATACAGGGAGCCGGGAGGCCCTCGGCTGCACATATATATTGCGATCATTGCTTTATATATGTGCAGAGAGGGAATGTGGGGCCCGGGATTGCCAAAGCAGTCCGGGCCCCCCAGGACCGCCGGGCCCGTGACAACCGTCATGGTTGTCACCAGTGGTGTATCTTGGTTTTGTGCAGACTTAGGCGAGACTAAACTCAGGCACCCGCCTAATATAAATTTGACCCGCCCCTTCCTGTCAAGGCCAAACCCCTTTCTGTTTAAGAGCCACCCCTTCCTATGTAAACCCCACCTCTTCCTGTTTAGGCTCCACCCTTTCCATTTAGAGCTTCACATCTTCCTTTCTGTATTTAAAAGTGAATAATGAAGGCCATTATTTTTTGTTTTCTGTAGCATTTCAAATGTTGCATCTATTTTTTTAAAGAGAATCTTGACATATAATAATATAAAGTGTAAATTCAACCACTTTACAAAGATCAGTCATCCAGGTCAACTATACTATATTGATCACAGACACTCAAATTGTTTGAATTAGCACGTGGTCAGTCCACATGAGCAGTAACAGCACCATGGCTTCAACAGCTGTTACTAGACATGCATACACAATTTGTGTAATTCATACAAGATAATGCCACTGTACATATCAACCCATCCAGTCCATTACACTACTTTAGCCATAGCACAGACTTTCAAACATCATTTACTTACATCAATCAATCCATCCTGAAACTGACACGATGAGGTTTTTAATAACTTAGATAACTTTAATTAAATATATAAATATATTAAACTGAAATGCAACTTGTTGAATACAACAAATAAAACTGTAAACATTTCTGACTTAAATAAGTGCAAACTGTTGAATATTAGACTATTAGATCTAAATCATACTTGTAAACTAAAGTGGCTTTCGCCAAACTCTCTGTGTAGCAAAGCTGTTGATGAGCTCTTCATAGTCCAAAGATTTTGTGATTTCAGACTCTATTGCCAACACTGCCAGGGAGTTCAATCTTTCCTCTCCCATTCTGGATCGCAAGTAGTTCTTAAATCGCTTCAAAGTCGAGAAAGAACGCTCAGCTGAGCAGTTAGTTGCTGCAGTATACAAAAACATTCTGAGAGCAATGTCCACATTTAAATAAATGCTTTGCAATCCTCTCTCTCTTATCATTCGGGACATCGCCAGAACAGAGGTATCTTCTGCAGAAGAACTTATTAGGTATGAACGAAAGTGGAGGCACTCATCAACAAAACACTCCTGTTCCAAGTCTTTGCTGTAAGAAGAACAAAGGTTATTTGCATGCTGTGATATTGCTGATGGCTCAGTTTTTGATAGATCAGTAATTAATTTAAACTTTCCAAAGAAAGAGTCATATGCCATTTTTCTTCTCATAAGTTCAGCAACCAAGTTGTCACAAATAACATAAAAGGTGTTAATGCGAAAATGTTCTTGGGCTTCCTCTGTCTGTGTATTGCTGGAAGTTGCTGAACCTTTCCTTACTTGTACACCTATCCTCTTAGTCTCATAATCCTTCACAACTGATTTTTTCATTTCAGCAGCTTCGAAAGTTGGGAATATATCTCTGATTTCTCAAACAAACTGGATCAGTGACTCATACAGCTCCCCTACAATTCCAACATCAATGCCAATGCTTTGGAGTTTTTTTGCAAACTGCACCAAATCTATCCAGGATAGTACCCCACAAACCACTCATAAGTGCAGTCTCCAGACATTGTATTTTATTCAGAAGACCTTCAGCTTCCTTGCATGTTCCTGGTGCCTCTGCGGTATTTTCCTTAATTTTTGTTAAGGCTTCGATTACTTGAGTCCAATTTCGATTAGAGCTTCGACAGGCATCTTCCCTGGCTGACCACTGTGTGTGAGATAATCCCTTGCCCGCTATAGTGTTTGGCACAGATTATAAATGTTCTTGTAAAATCTCCCATCTGTGAGTGGAAGCAGTAAAAAAAAATGTAAAGGTATTGTAGGAGACCAAAGAATGAACAGGCTTCAGGACAACTTTCAGCAGCATGCTTCCCTACTAGATTTAAAGAGTGTGCAGAGCATGGAATATACACAGCAAGTGGGTTTCTTTCCAGAATTCTGGCTTGCAATCCTCTATAATGGCCAGACATATTGCTTGCATTGTCATATGATTGACCATGACAGTTGGCATTATCAAGATGATATGAGTGAGGACCACTTCAGCCAGTTGTTCCGATTTATGTCCAGGATTTGGAATAAACCGTAGAAATCGCTCAACCGGTAAGCTATCTTCCTTGACATACCTTAAGATGAAGGCCAGCTGATCCGTGTGGGAGCTATCAGGTGTTGAATCAACACTAATAGAGTAATAGTAAAAGTAAGTCCTGATAGTCAAAAAAGATGTCTATCAGAAAATGTGTAAGAGGGAATAAGACAGAGGAGGATAGGAGCTCTGAAACTGGAAAAAACAGGGTTTCATCAAATCCCATACATATTCATAGATATAGAAATAAAAGCATCCAGGAGCTTATAACATATAACTAATAGATACAAGATATAAGATTTATTGATAGAAAATAAATATAGATATCAATATTCATACAATCTAAAACGCTAAAAGCATCCAAAATAGAATTGCTAATTAATTACTTTGCATAAGAGTCCAAATTGTAAATAAATAAGGGATCAGTCCAAGCATAAGAGCAAATAATTATAGCACATATAATCCTTGAACATGTATCATAAATGACCTCTGACCTGTTGGGGTATCCTTTACAGAATCAAATGAGGTTCTTATGAATTTATTCTACATTCATATAAGAAAGAATAAAATAAGAAATAGAATATTATGATAAAAACTAAATCTAGGCTTGTTAGTATCACAAACTAACAGCCTAATTGACAGTCTCCAATATAAAAGTCTGGGCTGGGAATGGAAGAACTGTAGCAACAGGAATAGATACTAAAGTATTCCGTATTGGTACCCTAATGATACTTTAGATTGCGTCCATATACATCCAAAATGACTTGTAGAAAAATAGTATTTATCAAAAAAAGAGTGCTTTATTCACATAAAAAATAATAATAGATAGTTCTAATACAAACATGAAATACTGGGTAAATAATGTTCCACAAAAATATTCCGAAGTAAGAGAAGGTGAAAAGACCATATAACCTGAACCATTCGTCTGGATGGCTGAGGATGGTGATATTTCCCTTCCAAGTTGGTCCTGCAGCAGCCGGTGAGGACGACATCCGCATTCTTTGGCACTACACCTCCGACCTCACATCAAGAGGTGAGCCTCCAGAATGATGCCGTGTTGTGGATAGAGACGTCTGTAGATCACCGAGTCTTGTTCTTTCCAACTCTTCTCTTCGTATTGATTTCACAGCCTTACGCGTTTCATAGGGTACTGCCCTATTTCATCAGAGGCATGTCTTAATCTTAGTCCATATTGGTATATATATACCCAGTGTCCTACAAGTCATCAATTTATTTATAATTACATATTAAATCGAAATCCAAATTTTAAAATGAACATATAAAATGTATATACTATAACTGTGATCGTATCAGTACATAAACATACAATAAATAAATGTCCCAACTACATAAATCACACATATGAAAAGTAAATATATGAAAATAAATGAAAAGAAAGATAAACAATGTAGATCCATTAATTTGTGTATTCCATTCTTATTAAGTCAGAAATATACTAGTTAAAACATTGGACCTTTCTATGTAAAACCACAACTATAACACTAAAATTCCAATTTAGGTCCACATTCTGAGATGAAGAAAATTGAGAAGTGTATAATATGATGATAGTTAGCACATACGAAGATAACAGTAAATGAGTCAGAGAATAGATGGGAAATAAGTAAATAAATATGTACGTCAAAAATCTGTCACTGCAATAAAAAGTCCTTAAAAAAATAAAAACTTAAAAATAAAGAAGAATTACTTTATAATACATGTATAAGTCTGTCTACCAGTATCAGTCTGCCAGTGTCAGTTATATACAGTCTGGCAATCGGTAGCATGCCAAAGAATAGTAATAGAAAAATACAATAGGTCACAATAAAAGTATATGTGAAGTAAAAGTATATTAGTATATTTAATTAATTTAGTTAGTTAGTGGAAACCTCATAAAAAGGCATTCAACTCGAAGTCCACATTAAGACCCTTTGCTGCTAAGGTATTAAATATACTAATATACTTTTTACAATCTATTGGGTTCAGAACTATTATAACTATCATCATTATTTTTTGAGGTTTTATTTCTTCTTCCCATACTTCACTGTCCTTGCAATGCTGTGCTCTCTATTTTTATGTGCAAATTACAACTGTCACTTTTATTGTGACCTATTGTATTTTTCTATTGCTATTCTTTGGCATGCTACCGATTGCCAGACTGTATATAACTGACACTGGCAGACTGATACTGGTAGACAGAGCAGCTCCTGTCAACTCCCTTGTTCTCCGGTTTGGTCAGCTCCCCTGTCAGCTCCATTGCAAGCCTCGCGAGAGCTGCGGGGTCAGAGTGTTGCCACGGGTTACCGTGGCAATGCTCCGCGCGGCAGTCACATCGCTAGACTTACAGTGGAGCTGACCGGACCAGAGGGAGCTGACAGGAGCTGCAGGAAAGGTAAGTTACAGCTCTCTGCCAGCCCCCTCCTGCACAGTGCACACCACTGGACCACCAGGAAATGAGAGCCCCCTCCCTGGCCAGCTAACAAGCAGGGAGGGGGAATGAAAAAAAATAAAATAACATAAAAATATTAATATAAAAAAATATTAAAAATGCCCACCCCTCACCAAGGCTCTGCATCACATACACATACTGCATTCATACACACACACTGCATTCATACACAAACACTGTAAATAAATATTCAATTAATAAAAAAAAATTGGGATCTAATTTTATTTAGAAATTTACCAGTAGCTGCAGCATTTTCCACCCTAGTCTTATCATCGAGTCAATACGTTTTCCCAGTTTTTGGGGGTAAAATTAGGGGTCTCGACTTATATTCGGGTTGACTTATACTCGAGTATATACGGTAAGTTGGTTTAGCAATGACTCACATATATACCTGCCTCCTATGGTTTCTGGGCACACAATTTTTAACGGGTTTGCTAATCATTTGTTTGTTAACATAAATAGCTGAATGCAGCCACGCTCTACCGATTCACTGTCCAGTGGTTTTCACCTAAACTGCATAACTAACACACATCCAGTTACCAATTACTTAAGGTTTCATGATGACACCTGTTAGTCTAGACGTGCCTGACAGCTTGCATTAGAAACCTTCTAAAAAAAATAGAGTATTAATAATTCTTAGTTACAGCATCTGATTGCATAATGTACACACTTGTCCAATCAGAGTACCATTGTTGATCCTGTATGTGTAATCTATGTAACTAAAACCATAAAATGAGATTGACACACACAGGAGCTTATTACTACGTGCATGTATCTGTAACTCTGTTTTGCAACCGTATGCATTAACTCAGTTTCTTTTTTCTGTATGTTATCACTTGCAGTATTAATAAAAGAAAGATTGTCAAAAAAAAAAAAGGAAGAGGTGTACGCTTATTTTTACAGCGGAGTACAGGGACTCCACTATACTTTTCTTCATTTCTTCCATAAAATTTGTGATGGTTAATTGGAATGTCAAAAAGCCTGTTATGGGCAATGAAAATTATGTGTTCTTACTCACTTTCTCACAAAAGAAAGCATATCATAAAAAATCCCCATTAAATCTTCAGTGAATACTTCCCTACACTTTCTTTACCCCACTCCCTCAGCATGTGAGCTGTGCGTTAAACTTGTCTGGTTACAATTACATGTTTGTTAGTCCACCCATTGTAAAGCGCTATGGAATTTGTTGGCGCAATATAAATATAATAATAACCTTAGCAAAGTCAAAAGCAGAAACAAGGTTGTAATCGAGCACCAAATATTGTGTGAGTAAATGGGTAAGTGCACATTTACTTACATTTATGGCGTGACTATGTAAAAAAGTTATTAAACTTAAAATGCTGAACCAGTGGCATTTACATATTCTATATTCATATTTTGAGACCATATTTAAAAACAGACTCAAGAAATAAAAATACTTTTATTAGGAATGTCAATAGAACAGAATATCGGGGAGTGATTCTGGCCATTTGACAGTACAATAACATTGCAGTTTTTCAGAGATCTACATACTGAAGCCTGAGAGCTACTTATATGTGAGCATTACAAGTGTCGAATGTCATATTTAATCTGAGAAAAAAAAAACCTGCTCAATAAGGAGGTTTTCTTTGATAACTCAATGTACAATGAAGAAGGTTTTCACTAGAAGAGTTTGAATTTGGTATTTCCTTATTCTGCCTTAGTGCTAGGATCTCCAAGGTAATATACAATAACATTATCAGCTTCATGCACTGGGGGCATACTGCAGGACTAGGCGGTCAAATTCATTCTCCTAAAAGAAATGAAAGCAACATTAAGTATATGGTCAACATGGAACAATTAATTCAATATCAAAAAAGGTGACAGCAAAACTTTTAATGTTTTTTTGGACTAAATCAACAGTATTTAAAAAAAATTAAGTTTGATTTATTTTATTATTACAATCGTTGAAAGGAAAATTACGTACTAAAAGCAATTTCCAAAATCACATCAAATTAATCTTATTTAAGCTCCCAACTACAGTAATTCACTCTTCGCAAAAACATTACTGTTGTTCCCTGTAACTATTCATAATTGTTCATGTACATTTTCCCAATTGCACCATTTACACAGTACTTGTTAAAAAATTGTTCATACAGACTTAGATTTTGTCTAAGGCAAAGAAAAGTTTTTTTTTACTGCAAGAACAATAAGGATGTGGAATTCTCTGCCCGAAGAAGTGTTTTTTTTTTTTTCATAGTCCATACAGATGTTCAAACAGCTACTAGATGCATACTTGCAAAAACAGAATATTCAAGGATAACATTTTTCAATGTAGGGTAATAGCTTCTTGATCCAAGGGTAAATCTGATTGCCATTCTGGGGTCAAGAAGGAATTTTTTTCCTAGTTTGTTGCAAAATTGGAAGTGCTTCGAACTGTTTTTTTTTTGCATTCTTTTGGATCAACCGCAAAAAAAACTAAAACAAATGTGAGGAAGGCTGAACTTGATGGACGCAAGTCTCTTTTCAGCTGTGTAACTCTTTATTAATCTCTGTTTTATTTATTTATTTCTGGTATTTATAAAGCGCCAACAGATTCCACAGCGCTGTACAATTAGTTGAGAATGTACAGTATACACCAACAAATACAAGAGGTAGAGAGAGCCCTGCCTGTAAGCTGATATCTAGCCTTTGGAGCTCTTTTATACAAAGTGCTTAGCTAGATGGCCCGTGAACTTACAATCTAAAGGATACAATGTGGATTTAAGACAAGAGGTACCAGGGGAAATTTTGAGGTGATGGCTAAAAGAGTTAACAGAGAGAAGCAGCTATTGGTAAAATATAAATGGAATGAAGACGTAATTGAGTGAGAAATCTCAAACAGCTGGAGGAGCAGGTTATATATTAAGGGGGAACCTGGGTGGGTGGGAAAAAAATGCAGAGCTTCACTGAGTTTGAGTGTGAAGTGAGGCCTGAAGAACAGAGATGGAGATTGAACAGTTATATGAAGGTATTAAGAGCTAGGAGAAGCATTGCAAAGAGGGAGAGGTGGGGTAGACTAGCCATGTGCTGAATTTGTAACACTATGTGGCTGCTGTCAGCTGACTAATCTGGTGACCAATTTGTTTTTTTTTATAATTACCTTTGCCTGAAATTCTTTTATAAAAGGGTGATTTCGGTGTCCATCCTTTAGTTGAGAGAGGTAACGGTTGGTGACCTGCATTTAAAAGACAATGCAATTTAGAGCAGTATCTAAGATTAATACCATTTCAGAATTGTCCAAAATATGTTTCATTAACATTTACTGTTGAATCACGATTGTTTGAAATCAACAGCTACTTTGATATATGTGTGATAAATGTAAATGCAAAGTAACTTGACTCATGACAGCTTAGAAAACTATTATGCATATAAGAAACTGTGCTGTTTCTATGGAAATATATTTCTTATATCACTCCTAGTGCAATTTGAGTGTTGTAAAATTCTGAAAAAGCAGCATTTACAGTGCTAACATTGCAGGGACATGCAATAGACACCAGAACCACTACATTAAGCTGTAGTGGTTCTAATTACTATAGTGGGCCTTTATACAATTAGCATCAAATTTCCCCTTCACATTTTTATATTTAAGAGAACATACCTATTACATTAGGAAACATTCTGATTTTTTTTGAGAAAACATTTACTTTTTTTTTTTTTTATCTGGCTGAGCAGCCATGTTGAGTTAATCTACTCTTACCTGACCAACTACTTACTACACAACCTAATGTGCCTGCTGCTGCAGATTCACACAGAGCAATTGCAGCAACAGGCAAATTAGGCTGAACAACAGTTGGTCAGATGACTGTAAAATCTTGCTCAATATGGATGCCCTGCCAGATTAAAAAAAAAAGGGAAATTTTCTTTAAATAAATCAATATACCATAGCTAAGGGAGCACTCATATGACCAAGAAACATACTTAATTGTAAATAGTTGCACAGAGTTTATTGTTAATGCGAGCCTCTGCCTTGCTAGAGTTGTGTAAATGTCTCAGTTTAACGAGCAAAAATATGTAAATGCTGACTGCATTGTTCACCTCCCAGGGCAGGTCCTAAAATCACCCAGAAGCAGTATAAGTCACAGATCAGGAAATGGTAGTTGAAAGTCACCAAAAAAAAAATAAAAAAATAAAAAATAAAAAAAAAGGACTGCTAGTTACATCAGTAAGAGTAGTATTACTGCTAGATGGAAGGAGATTGGCGAAGCAGTCTGCTAACTGCTACAGTGCCTGGAGATTACCTTCTGGGAAGATCTGGCTGCACAAGAACACCCCAGAGGTCTGGGAGGCAGCTTCACAGCACGGGCTATAGGCTAAACGAGGGCCACAGAGTCCAACCCTAGCAATGAGATAACAAGGGTGACAACGTCTAACCCCATAAGGCAGCACCACTAGTCGGGCAAGGGAAGATATAGGCTGAAGCTATAGAAAGCTACGACGTTAAGATACAGAATATAAATGTAGAAAAGCAAACCACGTCAGCGAACCTTCAAAGTGCGGTTGCAGGAAGGTTATATGTTACTGGTTATATGTTTGACTGTTGAAACTTGGTCTTGTGACTACCAATGCCAATCTCACTATACAACTACGATGGGAGAAGCAGATCGGGAATTGGGAGTGTAGACTAGTCCCACACTCGAGATGCCACCAAACCTGAGGTACAGAGATAACACACACTGAGACACGAAACCTCAAGCACGCATGGCAAGGACGGGACACGGTTAGGGTATAAAGAATTGGTCGAGCTCTTGGCTCCGAACCATATAGGACTTTATAGGTACCACACCTCTTGTCTCCAGACACGGAAGGACTAGCCAACAGTTGTAGTACAAAGTTCAAACCCACTCCACGACCCCTAGAGGCTACGCGGAATAGTAGCCACACCCGAATTTGGGTATTAGTAGTGACGACTACCAATATGCTCTCTCCCAGTTACTCCCCCTTACCCCGCTATTCACTATCCTAGCCACCAAAGTCAAACGACTCAAGACAGCCCATAACCACGACCACGAACAACCATACCCTGAACGAGGAAATCCCGAGCCCAAGGGGAAGCCAAATATAAAGTTTAGTCTCCCGGTGAATGCTACACTGAAGCACAACACAAATACAACTCCAGTGACAGACAGCTATTACCCACTGAAACCACAACATGAAAATATACTCACATAACGTAAAAGGTCTAAACACCCCGTACAAGCGCCACTGCCTCTTTAGGGACTTGAAACAAGAACAAGCAGAGATAATATGCCTCCAGGAAACACATTTTAAAACAAACCCAACCTTAAGACTAGACTTATTCCCTCACCAATTCCACGCCACAACAGGACACAAATCCAAAGGAGTGTCAATACTCATTAGCAACAAAGTCGCATTCACACACCACGACTCCTATATCGACCCTTTGGGCAGACACATAATATTAGTATGCACCATAAATAACACCCTATACACCATAGTCTCCATCTACGCACCAAATACAGACCAAAGAAATTTCCTTCACAAGTTGTTAACTAAAATAACACAACTACAGAAAGGCATGTTGATCTTATGTGGTGATTTCAATCACATTACAGACCCAAAGCTAGATTCCACAGCGCAACTTAGCTCCAAACCCAGATCAAAACAGACTCAAGCGTGCACAAAATATCAGAAACTATTAGAGGACCATCAACTATACGATTCGTGGAGAGTACTTCATCCACAGTTAAAAGACTACACGTACTACTCTGCACCGCACAAAACGTACACGCGGATAGACAGATTCCATACCCACAGACAACATCTAGACCAGATACTAGACTGCAATATCCACACAATCAGCTGGTCAGACCATGCAGCAACAACACTAACGATCAAAGACCAATACGACTTCAAGCACAAAAGCCCATGGAGACTTAATGAATCCCTACTACACAACCCGACGATCATTCAACACCTAGAGGAAGAAATCACACAATATTTTAACGTGAACAATACAGAGCACACTAACATAGACATGATATGGCAGGCGCACAAACCAGTCATTAGAGGCTTGCTGATTCAAACAGCAGCAAGGACCAAGCGTGCCACCCAGGCACAATGGATAACATGGAACACTCAACTGTCGGATCTCACCACCAAACACAAAACATCCCCGACAGTATCACTGCACACCCAAATCAAGGACTTACAGGACAAAATTAAAGAACACACACTACAAAGAGTGAGCTACAACTTACATAGACTTAAACAACAACAATATACACAAGGCAACAAAGCGAGCAAATTACTAGCAGCTAGACTCAAAAGCAGAACAACTAACAGCAGAATACAATACATCATAGACCAGAATAACAAAAAACTCATCTCCCCGGTGGAGATAAGCAACGCCTTCGCCTCCTACTACGAAAAATTATATAATTTAGAGACCTCGGACCAATTAAAACAAAGGGATTAAGATATACATGCATATCTAGCAAACACACAACTACCGACACTATCACCCTCCCAGATGGCAGAATTAACAGCCCCCGTGACGACACATGAGGTAGGAGCTGTGATAAAAGCACTGCCGAAAAATGAAGCACCGGGCCCCGACGGCTTCACTAACCTGTACTACCAGAAATTCCAACACATTTTATCTCCTTACCTTGCGCAACTATTTAACTATGCCACCCAAACTAGCACACTTCCCAAGGAACTACTCACGGCACATGTTATTACTCTCCCCAAACCAGGCAAACCACCAACTCACTGCCCCAACTTCCGTCCGATATCACTCCTCAACACCGACGCTAAAATATATGCCAAGGTCCATGCACAAAGACTGAGCCGCATACTACCTCACCTGATCCACACAGACCAGGTGGGCTTCGTAGCTGGAAGGCAGGGATCAGACAACACACGCAAAGTACTGGACCTGTTGCACAGCATGAGGAGGGGGGGGAATCGGGGGCCTTCTGGTGTCCTTGGTCGCGGAGAAGGCCTTCGATCGCCTTAGTTGGTCTTTTCTGCAGGCAGTGCTACACAAATTCTCATTCCCACAACAATTCATCAACGTGATTAGAGCCCTATACAACAAGCCCACAGCCAAAGTCGTGACAGCCGGGTTCTGCTCAGAACCCTTTAAGATCACAAACGGGACGAGACAAGGCTGCCCACTGTCGCCTATGCTATATGTCTTAGCATTAGAACCACTAGCAGCCAAAATTAGAGATGAAATCTCCATAAAAGGAGTCACGCTGGGAACCAAGGAATATAAACTAAGTATATTTGCTGATGACATATTTTTGACACTGACAGAACCATTTATTCCACTGCCCAACCTTATGAAACACATAGAACAATACGGGAAATTCTCCTATTACAAACTCAACTTAACTAAAACACAGGTTATGGGGATAAATATCCACAAACAACAAATGGAAACACTAAAGGAGAAATTCCCATTAGACTGGCGTACAGACTTCCTAACATTCCTAGGCCTCAAAATCACGAAAAACCCGGTACACCTTTTCAAGCTCAATTACTTGAGCATTTTATCGAACTTTAAAGACACCCTAAAAACCTGGGAAGGAAAATACATATCCTGGGTAGGCCGTATAACGGCAGTAAAAATGACGCTCCTACCTAAACTCCAATATCTCTATAGAACTTTACAAATTCCACTGCCCAAGAGCTTCTTTCTCACGACCCAAAACTTACTCCTCAGATTCGTGTGGCAAAACAAAAAGATTAGAATAGCCACCAAGATTATACAAAGAGAGGTGAATAAAGGCGGTCTTGGGTTCCCCGACATACAATCTTATTACACTGCAGCAATCCTCCATACAATATCACAGCTTATACCACGACCAGACCAACCACAATGGCTGGAAGTAGAATCCTATTGGGCCCACCATACCACAATCTATTCATACTTATGGACCCCGAAACACTGCAGACACACGACACAGCATCTACTCCCCACATCCCAATTATTACTAGAAATATGGGACTCCGTACAGAAAAAAGTGACGGCCTACCAACCCATACCCCTAGCGACTCCAATGGAGGTGCTGTCCAGGATCATACCAACACTAAATCCAAAAAGTTGGTTAGAGCATGACATTAAACTCATTGAACAGCTATATGATGGGGGGAAATTCATGCAATTCCCGGAACTACAAACCATGTATAACCTCCCCAGCAAGATGCTGTTTCCGTACCTGCAACTTAAGTCATGCCTACAACACACCCGACCCCAAACACTACACGACGAACTTCTCCAGAAATTATCTACCTTTGAAAAAATTTGCACAAACACATTACCCCCCAAAAAAGTGTTATCACTGTGCTATAAAGCCTTGATCCATTCCCAGACTAACATTAAAACCACGTACAAACATGCCTGGCACAAAGAACTGAACCGCACAATCAGTGAGGAACACTGGACAAAAGCATACTCATCACACAAAGGCATCACGTCATGCACTAACCACTTAGAACTCCAAAGGAAAATTTTATATCGCTGGTACCTGGTACCAGAGAGGATTCATAAAATATGGCCACAATCCTTCACGAATCAATGCTGGAGGTGCAAGCAACAGGTGGGAACGATGTTACACACATGGTGGTCCTGTGATAACATACAACCATTCTGGCGCAAGGTGGGACATCTCATTCAACAAATAACGAACACTAACGTAGAGCCCACGATAGAGATGTGTCTCCTATACATACCGCCAGAAGAATTAACTAGGGTTCAATGGGCAGTCACATACCACATTTTAATATCAGCTGCATTAGTGATAGCTAGATCATGGAAATCACCTACACCACCGAACTTCAGTACCCTCCTTACCCAAATCAACACCAACTGGCAGTACGAATCAATGCTGGTACAACAAAGAGGCCTAAATAAAACAATGGCAAAAGCCAACTTGGTCTGGAAAGAATACTGGAAGGCGAACAAAGATGTTCATACCTCACCACACCCCAAATAACTCACCCGTAACCACAACAACCACGGATATACTTAATGGGGCACCAAAACAGTTTAGAGCCACACCATGGCCCAAGAAAAGAGTTGGCCCCCAATATCCAACTCTGACGAGCAAGAGTCATAGCAAATAATACCACGACATAACCCAAGGAATAGGAGGAGCAGTGGGGAGGTGTCTGACACAATTCACCAGTAGCGGGAGGTAGACCAGCCAAACATAGGCACACTCCGGGAGAACAGTAACTAAAAACCAACAGGAAACGAGTCAGGGAACACTCAGGACGCTATTGCCCAACAAGATATACAGGACCCTCTGAACAGGGTAAATGCGGGTGGCAAACCCTCTCACCCTCCCCCCCCCGGCCCCCCCCAGCCATCCTACCACACAGGAGCAATATTGATACTACAATATATGTATGATGTTACTGACAATGCTGTACAATGTGGTTAACCCCTCACTTCCCCTCTTCTTTCTGTACCCCGAATTCTGTGAAAATAAAAATTGTCAAATTGAAAAAAAAAAAAATAAATCAATATACATAAATTTAAAAAAATATCACTAACTTTCATAAAATGAAATAAATGTTTAAAAAATGAGTAGTGAAAATTTGACCTACAAAATGTTCAAATCCTACTTCCACCTTCACTTCATTTTTATCCTTCTGCTCCTAGCAGCTGGTGATGTCTCTGCAAACCCCAGTCCCATCTTGGCAAACCCACCACGTACTAACTCAAGGAACCACACCAATCTCATGTTACTCTTCCTCTAAATCCTCCTCCAATACTGCCCTCTGGAATGCACGCTTTGTTTGCAATATTACAAAATCCACTGCTGTCCGCGACCTCTTCATCTCTCGTTCCCTAGATTTACTAGTCTTAACAGAAACATGGCTCCCCCCCCTCTGACAATGCTACCGCTGCATCTTTATCCTTTGGTGGTCTTCAACTTCACGACACTCTGAATGTAAAGTTGGTGGTGTAGGGTTTCTCCTCTCACCTCACTGCTCATTCAAACATCTACCCACCCCCCTTCCCATCATTTGAAATGAATTCAATTCACCTCTTCAAACCCTTCTCTGCTAACATTGCTGTTATTTATCGCCCCCCTGTTTCCCCTCTCCAGTTCCTTGACCACTTTGCTGCCTGGCTACCCTACTTCCTCTCTTTTAATATTCCATCCCCAATTCTCGGGGACTTCATTATTCCCATTAACTCACCTTTGACCTCAGCAGCCTCTAAACTACTTTCAATTACTTACCTCCCTTGGACTATCACAGTGGGCTAATTCTCCCATCCATGTAGATGGCAAAACCCTCAACCTCATTTTCTCTTATGCTCTTATCATTTGCTCACAAGTACCCCCTCACCCAACATTCTCAGCCTAACCACCCTCAACTCAGGAGGAACTTTAATTTTATTGACCTCAAGCAGCTATTAGCTAATATTGATTCACAACTGCTATCCATCCCTTCCCTCTCCTGTCACTCACTGGCCATCTCCACATATAATACCATTTCAGAATTGTCCAAAATATGTTTCATTAACATTTACTGTTGAATCACGATTGTTTGAAATCAACAGCTACTTTGATATATGTGTGATAAACGCACCTCTGCCTTGAACGCAGCAGCCCTGCTCCAAACATGCACCTCGAGGAGGGCACGACCCCAACCGTGGCATACTAAATCAACACACTACCTGCAAAGATGCTCCCATTGTGCTGTACGCTCCTGGAGGAAGCTTAGCACCTAGGCAAACTATCTCCATTATAGATTCATATTGTGTTCATACAATGCAGCCCTTGCCCTTGCCAAACAGTCATACTTTTCCTGTATCATTAGTTCGTGCCCCTGCAATCACAGCCGTCTCTATGACACCTTTAACTCTCTTCTTCACCCTGCTGTGGTCACCCCCCAAACTAACCTTACAGCTTTGCATGCTACTTTACCGACAAGATTGAACAGCTAAGGAAACAATTCACCCCACCTTGCCATTCTCTTTCTCAACCACACGTTGATCATGCCTTTTCTACCCTTCAGACTTTCTCCCCGGCTACCGAAGAGGTGGCTGTGCTTCTCCTTTCCTCTCGCCCCATCACTTGTCCGCTCGAACCTGTCCCATCTCACCTTATCAGATCTCGCTTCCCCTGTCTTGTGCCTTTCTTAACACACATCTTCAACAGCTCTCTCTCTTCTGGTGTTGTCCCTGCTGACCTTAAACATGCCACTGTAGTACCTATCCTGAAAAAACATCTCTTGACCCGTCCTCCCCCTCTAACTATTGTCTTACATCCCTGCTCCCTTTTCCCCCAAAGCTTCTGGAAAGACTTGTCTTTACCCGTATGTCTCACTTCCTCAATTCCAACTCTCTCCTTGACCCTCTTCAATCTGGCTTCTGGCCTCTCCACTCTACTGAGACTGCTCTTATCAAAGTTACTAACGACCTAATTGCAGCTAAATCCAAAGACCACTACTCCATATTAATTCATCTTGACCTCTCTGCTGCTTTTGACACCGTTGATCATGCTCTCCTTCTTCAAACTCTTCAATCAATCACTCAGTCTCTGTGACTTTCCTCTTATCTCTCCCAACGCTTATTCAGGGTCTCCTGTCTCGGTAAGAGTCCCCCAAGGCTCTGTCCTTGGTCCCCTTCTATTTTCTCTTTATACTGCCTCTCTTGGCAAACTTATTACCTCATTTGGATTCCACTACTACCTGTATGCTGATGACACCCAGATATAGCTCTCCTCCCCAGACCTCTCCCATGCCGTCCTGCAACATGTCACTGCTTGCCTTTCTTCCATCTCTGACTGGATGTCCTCCTGCTTTCTGAAACAAAATCTCTGTAAAACTGAGCTCCTTGTCTTTCCTCTTCCTAATACTGATCCTCCTCTTTCGCTCTCCCTTTAAGTTAGTGGTATCCACGTAAGTCCATCCTTGCAAGCGTCTTGGCGTCATACTTAATTCTGGCCTCACCTTTGGGACTCACATCGAGAATGTTGCCAAATCCTGTAGATTCCATCTTAAAAAAAACATAGCCCGCATCCACCCCTTTTGTACGCAAGATGCTACCAAGGAGCTTGACAATGCTCTAGTAGTTTCCCGTATGAATTATTGTAACTCTCTCCTAATTGATCTTCCCAAAAGCCGTATTGCCCCACTACAGTCTGTAATGCTGTAATGAATGCTGCCGCCAGACTTATTTTCCACTCACACCTCACCCCTCTGTCAGTCCTTACATTGGCTTCCTGTATCCTATAGGAGTCAATTTAAAGTGCTAACCCATACCTATAAAGCACTGAACGATTCCAGCCCCTCTTATAGCTCTTCACAGATCCATAGGTATGCCCCTTCTCGGTCTCTCTGCTCTGCTCGTGACCTTCTCCTGTCCGCTGCTCGCACCCGTACAGCCAACTCACGCTTGCAGGACTTCTCGCAGGCGGCTACCTTCCTATGAAATAGCCTGCCTACCGCCAGACTCTCCCCTAGTCTTCAATCGTTTAAGACGTGCCTTAAAACCCATCTCTTTAGGAAAACTTATGGCCTCCCAGAGTAATCTCTACCTCACATACCTGTCTCTTGCTCTCTCTTAAAGGGCAGCACTTTACTCTCTTTTCCAGCTCTGCTTCACTCCACCCGTATCTGATTGCTATTTCCTGTCGCAATGTGTTTTTTTTTTATTCTTTATTTTTGGTATGCAGGTAGGTACAACAGTGCCTGTGTCGCCACAACAGCATCAACAGGCGCAATGATCATAGTTATAACAGTTGTGTGGAATGTTAAGTTTGCATACATTTTTTAAAAATAAAATAAGTAATGGCAGAGTAAACAAGCCATTATCAATATAGTTTTGGGTTCAACAACAAGTTTTGTTTCTTTCTAGGCATTCATATGACATTCCTAGGTACCTTCAGGGTTAATAGTATGTTGAGTGCGTTAAGTTATTTTTCAAGCTAGGACAACATTATCATATTAGGGTTAGGTTGTCGCTATGAAACAGGTTAGCAAGTTTAGTTAGAACATTTCTAGTCTATTAATGACACTTATACTGTAGGTACCCATATCGAAATAAGCTTGCTGTGAGTAATTTGTACGAGGTTCTGATACATGTGAACTAGTTAAAACACAAAGATTAATCAGTAAGTTAGCTCCGGTTAGGTCACTGAGGGGAACTAAATAGATGAGTAAATGCAGTCTGCTGAAATTCGATCAAGCATAAAATTAACTTTGACATATGTATATTAATATTGCCTCTTTTGGTACCGGCAAGCTGGGTATGGCTGTAAGTCCTGAGGGGGACATGGGTGCCTCGCTCGAGGGCACATGGCCCTGTCAGGCAATGCCTTGGCAGAGCCATACCGTCCCTGGAGGATCTCGTATATAAGGCGTATGTCTGATTAATTTTTAGATCTAGTAGCAATGAGAGTGTTAAGGAAGCACACGTTCAGAAGAAAAGTCTAAACATCGAGCAGCCATTTTTAACTTTGCACCTTTTAAAAGGTGTTTGACTTGCGTGTTGCACATAAACAGATTAACTACGAAAAGGTTAAACATGAATGGTTACAGACTGCCTTAGGTTATCACTGGCTAGTGGATGTCTAAACACTTGTGTCAGCTGGAGGGGCTAGGCAGTATGTCATAGTAAGGTATACAAGTTTGAAATCATGTTTACAATATATCACAAGTATGTTAATTTTAAACTGCTGCATCAGGGTTAATAAAACCAGTGTAGTAAGAATTGAGTGGTGGGAGTGGGTCTCTTGTGAGTGGCTGGCAGTAAATTTAGAGCGTACAATGCTCTTGAGAAGCCGAAGATGGGTAAAGGTGTCCCAGAGTAATATAGTCCCCGTGTTGTTTCCCTGCGTTGGACCCTATAGGGTCCGTAGTGGTCAAGAATAGGGTAAAACTGTAGCCATCGGTATCATAGGGTCAGCGTTAGCCGTCTGTTACTGTTGAGGTTAGTCGGATGGTTTGTCGGGCAGATGTGGGGTACTGTGGGTGGTCTCGGCTACTTTGTTTTTATTACCTTTCCAGTGTCCGGCGTTGTGTCAGATTCCCCCCGGGGGGCGTGTGTGGTGTCGCTCCTAAGAGGTGACCACCGCGTATGTAATCGGCGTGGAGTCTCGGGGAATGAATGATGTAGCCTTGCCCAGTGTCCAGGTATGGGTTGAAGGAGTATTGTTGGTTAGCTCCACCTGGGTGAGGGATTCGTGTGGCAGGCCCAGAGTCTGCAGTAAGGCCTGTGCTTCGTGCATGTCCTGGATGATATGCGTGGTCGTCCCTTGTTTCACCGTCAGTGCCCTTGGAGATCGCCAGCGGTACTCGATGTTGTGGGACTGGAGCACGGAGGTGATCGGCTTGAGTGACCTACGCCAGGCCAGGGTGCCTCCAGATAGGTCCGGGTAGAACATCAGGTTCATGGCCTCAAAGCGAAGCGGGGGTTCTTCCCCGTAGGGCTGCGAGAATTGTTGCTTTTTCTTTACGTTTGCGGAGAGTGATTATCACATCTCTTGAGGCTGCGGCTGGAACATTAGCAGGTTTAGGGACCCTGAAGACCTCCTCTGAGGCAGGTATTATGGTTTGATTGTTTGTCAGAATCACTGGCAGTAGGCGCCCCATGACTTTTGGCAGGCCAGCCTCCGATATTCCCTCAGCGACTCCCCTGATCTTGATATTGTTTTGCCGCCTGGAGTCTTCCTGCACTGCCATGCGATGTTCGAGTTGCTGGTTCTGCTGTTGCAGCTCCTGTATGGAGTGCTGCAGTGCGATTATGTCCTGGACCTGTGAGGCTCCCTCCAGAGTGGCGATGCGGCCTGTCAGGCCTTGTATGTCCGTGCGGAGCGCTGTGACATCCTCGTGGATGTGTTTCTGCAGGTCTGCCAGCAGAGTTGAGGACTGCTGTGGTGACTGGCTTTGAGTCTGTCCCGGCTCCCCGTTGTTTTACCTTTTGCTTAGGGTTGGGAGTCTGTGTGTGGTCTTCCTCCATGTCGTCGGATAGCTCCTTGGAGAAGTCCCAACATTCGCCATGCAGCGCCGCCATGTTTGACTCGCTGGTGCCCCGGGCCTGCCTCCACATTTCTCCTATCGTAAGTCCCGACGTGGGCTTGTGTGGGCTAATTTTTTCCCCCCTTCGCCCCATACGTGCTCAGGGTGGATTCCGTTGGTCCGGGTGTAAGAGGGGGTTGTTTTATGTAGTTTTAACTTCGTTTAGGGCTCTGAGCTAATCTCTCTTGCGGCCGTTCTCTTCAGCGTTCAGGCTCCGCCCCCAATGTGTTTTATACCCCACCTCCTATAGACTGTAAGCTCGTTTGAGCAGGGTCCCCGTCAACCTATCGTTCTTGCTTTCTTGTAATTGTCCTATTTATAGTTAAATCCCCCATCTCATAATATTGTAAAGCACTACGGAATCAGTTGGCGCTATATAAATGGCAATAATAATATTAACTGAAGCAGTGAAAATATCAGACAATATATTTAATGTAAAAGATTAGATTAGCATTACTGTATCGCCCACATTTCAGCTTGATTTGTCATCTATTGCATCTTCTGCAAACCTATTGTATATGAGTACTGACCTACATTTAATGCTAGTAAGCCTTATATATTATACTCACATGCAGGTTGTTTACATTGTATAACCAAAAGATAAATAGGTTTTCAGCAGGCATATAAAACATTTTGTTTTATTTTAGCTGGCAACTTCAGCAGCACCTTATTTCTCATAAGCACTTCACTGGTGGCTAGATATAATAATCCAGAACTAAATGTCACATCCAAAACGTGTTTTTACATTTTTCTTTTAAAACTTAAGATTTACTAAGCAATATACCTCCTTCTACTTTTATAGAATGATAATTAAAAAAAAAAAAAAAAGAAAAACAGAGGCCTTACGAAATTAGCTCAATCATGTCTAGCACAGATTTGGCAAAATGAGTGGAAAACGAAATAGATAATAAAGGGGAAAAAATAAAGATAACGGCGCGGATATAATTTCTGAACGCCTAGAATCAAAGCACGGTCATATATGAGTTACCGCCCACCCTTTCAGACACATAAAATACAGTAGTTTTTTTTCTTATCTTAAAATAATGCAATTTTATATGTTTAATATGCACAGTCTTACCTCTGGAGGTTTACCAACATGCTGAGTAAGGATGATAAAGTTGATCAGAGTTTCTGGATGGTTGCTATCCTGTATGGGAAAGAAATATTACTACATATTAGTTGCATTAAAGGGGCACTCCTAACCCCTAAAACACTTCAGCTTCATGAAGTGCTTTATGTGTAAAGAGTGTGTTCTCTTTTTATCATTTTACATAAAGTACAGATTTTAAAAGAAATTGTCACTTTTAAAAATTAACTGTGGCTGTAAGACAACCAGTCCTGCCACGACCTGGATGGTTAGCTCAGTGGAGCAAATGCACAATATGGATGCACCTTACAGTAGATTTCAGAGAATAAGTAGCTCACCAAAAGTAAATTGTGGGTTACACCATAAATAGAAATGTTCTGTAGCTTACTCTGCTACTTTACATTTGCATTTCCTAGCACAGTAGTCTTGGTTGGCAAATACATTAAGAAACAGAAGTATGAGGTGTTTCCCCTCCTACTCTGCAAATTGAACTCTAATCACACACAAGGCTACAGTAGGGTATTAATACAGAAGGAAATACATTCTAAATTAAACAGGCTGTGTGATAAAGGAAGTTTAAACATTAGTTCTCTCTTTACAGGAAGTATTTAGAAAGGCTGTGCAAGTTGCAGGCAGGCGAGGAATGACTAGGACTGTAAACAATGTGATTTAACTCCTAAATGGCATATAATTGAGTAGTGAGACTGCAAGTGCATGATCTGTCCATGAAAACTGCATCATTAAGCGAATGTTGTTTTGGTGCCTATAGGTTCCCTTTAATCAATACGAATGTTGACTAAACATTTATTACACATTTCATTAAGTGAATGGCCAATAAACACATACATTTAGACAGACAAACTAAGAATGTAAAAGGTCATACCTTGTCCAAAGCTTCTTGCAGGACGCCTTCTGCATCCTCCCACTTGCCTTGACCCATATAACAAGTTGCCTGTCCATTCAGCAAAAGTAGGGTAGAGGAGTATTTTTCTGACATCTCTTGGAAGATGTAAAAAGCATCTTGCAACTTGTCTCCACCCTGGTAAAGGATAGAAGAGAAGCTGACAAACATATAATAATATGAACGGAATGAGACACAGAATACTGGTAAAATGGTCAAACTGCAGGAGACATCTTGGAGCATCTGTGAACATAAAATATTAATGGATTTTCAGACTATCTTGGAAAATTGGAATTGGATTTCCAGCCATTTGATATGCAATGGAGCAAAGGCCATAACAAATAAAGGAATTGGCTTCAACCATTCAAGTACATTTCAGAAGAGATTCAAATTTCTTGGCACAAGCTTCAAAGACGACAACTAAAAGTAGCGGATAGAATTTTGCAGGTTGGCTGGCAATAAGTAGGTAGACCAGTTTGGAATAGTAACTGATCAGATACTACTACCACCTCACTAGTATCAAGTGCCAGTTACCAAAGCTCCAAACAATGCAAATGTTAAAATGTTTTTTTTGAAGATATGTGTAGGGACAGGCTTTTGCAACCCTTAGTATTGCAATGTAAAACAGTGCAGTTTTAGAAAAACTGCAATGTTTACATTGCAGGACTAAGCCAACCTCTAGTGTCTTTGTATTCCCATCACTATAGTATCCCTTTAAGTAGCAAAATGTTAGTAGCAACAGCTGATAATTCAATTTGACAGACAGCCCTGACCTGATTATCTAAAATTTGTTCTCAGTTAGCTTGGTAATGCTTACTGTGGCAATGTTGACCCAAGCTGTTGCCAGCTGTGTTAGTGTTGCATCTTCATCCAAATCCACCATTTTCTTCAATTCCTTTCTGGTAGGATGAAAAATAAATGGAGTGAGTCCTTTTATGTGAATACTGTGTGTAATTTGCAGACACAAAATCTATAATAATAATACACCCACCCAATGTTCAGTATAGTGATAAGAAAAGGGTGTAAAGACAAGAGGTTGATATAAGAAAGGCAACTGTCATTTTGTTCTTTTTTTAGCTATTTTTTCCTCCCAGTTGCTCACAAGTGGATTCCTATTATTATGCAGAGAGTTGTTTTATAGGGACACTGTGTATTTACGCTGTACCTTTTATTATACTTTATATTTAGTAAGTATCTATAAAATGTTTGGTTTATCATTGCACAGTAAAACAGTAGTATAATAGTATAAGAAACATAAATTACAAGGTTTATAATAATTCAGAGACTATCCTGTACTAGTGCTCCGTTGTTGATCAGGCGAATGAGATGCTCATATTTGCTCTGTTAATTATGTCCATTTTTTTTTACAACTTGGATTGAGTTCTATTTCTTCCACGTGCGGTAAGTGGCTCTGGTAATCACTGTGCACAGCCCTGTTCACTACACAGTGAACCATGCTGGGTGTAAACTAATAGAAATTGTGGTATGACGGCTATCAGTTTGCGAAAATATTTCACACATTTAATCTGATAATTGAAGCTACTACTATGGCATAACCTACTCTTGTTTTGGTGAATTACATTTTGTATATATTCAATTAATGATAACCGTTAATGATCAAGGACAACATTAGATTCTTGCCTATCAAAATAATTTTGAATTCAGATTTGTCTGTATGTATCCTTTTGTAGTTTGTTTTTGTTCTTCAATGTCAAGTATTAATTGGCATTTCTGAATTCTGCCTTAAACTTTTTATATATGTTGTGTTCAAGTAGATAGACCAGCTATAAATTATTACCTGGCTAAGTCAAGCCTATCAAGTTTCAGCAGTATTTGGATTTTTGTGGCCATGCTGTAAAAGAACACAAATATAAAATATAAATACAAACTTTAGACATATAGTTAATAATTAGTCCAAAAAACAAACAAACCAGATCCAACATCTACTTCATCATAATGAAACGGACAGTATTACATATTTTAAGATGAAAATTACAGCTTACATATGCTGTCACTGTGACATAAGCATGTCCAACATTAGGAGATGGGCCGGACAACTCAGAATAAAATGTGATATACATAGCTTTATGCAGTGTATTCAAGTAGTATTCAAACCCCTTCACACTTTAAATTTTTTTTTAAATCATGCAACCTTGCTACAATTGTTAAAAAAAACCAAAAACCAAATATATATATATATATATATATATATATATATATATATATATATATATATATATATATATATATATATATATATATATATACATACACACACACACACACACATATATACATACACACAACATTTACTCTCAAAACTCCATAATGACAAAAGCATACACCAGATTTATTTTTTTAGAAAAAAAAAACAAAAAAAAAAAACTTGGCAATTGTACTACAATGAAAAAAACTCATATCACATTGACATGAATATTCACCCTTTGCTCCAACACTTGAAATTTAGCTTAGATATATCCTATTTCTCGGAATCATCTTTGAAATGTTTCTGTACTTTGATTGGAGTCCACCTGTTGCCAATTCTACTGATTTGGAAATGCCCATGGCTGTCTACATAAGGTCTCACAGCAGTAAATGCTTATCAGAGCAAAAAGCACGAGCCATGAGGTCACAGGAACTGTCTGCAGAGCGGTTAGGCTGCATTGAAGGTTCCCAAGAGCACAGTGGCCTCCACAATTCTTAAATGGAAGAAGTTTGGCGCAATAAGCACTCTTCCTAGAGCATGTCGCCCGACCAGATTTAGCAATCTGAGGAGAAAAGAATTATAATAAAGGTGGCTGAGACTCCAGTGGTCATTTTGGGTGACCTCCAGAGATCATGTGTGGAGAGGAGACCTATAGAGGGACAGCCATCATCACTGTCATCGATCTAGCCTTTATGAATAACACAAATATGAGAAACAGCAATACAAAGAAATACATCTCAGGCAGATATATTCCATCTATTCTACATACCTACTTTTTTTCAACATGAGCATGTAGTATATGGGCTGTAAGAGGTTGGCTTATACTATAATACTACTACGCTTTGTGATGTGAGATCGTTACTGCAAATAAGCTCTTCAAAACGTATTGAAAATTACAGGGTTAATAATGCAACAGAAGAAAAAATTCTGTGAAAATTGACAAATTCTGACAGAATGGTAAATCTCATATTTACTAAAGCCAATTTCGGTCAGAATTTGATCAACAGCAGAATATGCACCCATCTGCTTAAAAATTAGTGTTTTTTGTCTCCTAACCCTATACAAAGTATAGGATTCTATGTACGACAGTTTGAATTACTATTTACCAGCTCACAGTCCGCAGGTAAATAGTTTTAAAAAAAATCAACAAAAAATAAACAAGGGTTAATAAACTTGTTCATAAATAACAAGGGTTAATTATGTGATTTCAGACCAGTGCTTGTTAGCCAGCCCCCACATTACAAAGTCAAAAATAAATAGATAAATAATAATAAAAAAAGTTTATGTGGTCAACATGATCCCCATATTATCATAAAAGATGTTATGCCCTACGCATCATGCTGCACTTGGGGAAATATCTTTTAAATAGTGAGCAGACAGGGGCTGCTCACTTTAACTAAAAAGTAGCAACTGAGTGCCCAGTAAGTAAAGATTTAGTGAATAACCCTGCTAACAATTGAGAGTATTTTTAATGTTCCTAAAACATTATCAAAAGTTTAACATGACCTACTGATAAAACCAGGGCTCAAAATTTACACTCGCCATCAGCATTTGAAAATTTAACCCTGGTGAGTAGAATTTCACACCTGGTGAACAGAATTTCGTCACGGACCGTTTTACAGAAGCTTCTGATTCATGTACCCGGCCAGACTAACAGGAAGTGCTCACTGAGAGATCACTTCCTGTCAGACTGGATACAGGACATAGAAGCTACAGCATCGCGGTGCACGCCTCTCGGCCATGCTTCAAAGAGCGGTAAGGAGACACACAAGGGAGGGTAAAGAAGGACCATTAAAGGAAATGGAGAGGAGAGGACCACTAAGGGGGTATGAACAAAATATCTAAACAAACAAAGAACTTTAGCATACGTTTACTATGCAAACAAAAGAAACTGGACATACCATTCTAAACTGTCTCCTTGGTGAAGTGCTCGTAGAGCCGCATCCGTATTGCCATCATGGAAATAAATTGAAGCTGCCATCAGCAGGAATGTTGTGTTGGTAATGTCAACGCTTTTTGACATTTTTTTGTCCAGCTCTGCGACAATAGCATCTCTGTAAAGCATAATTTAAGATTAACATAAAGGCCGTAGTCTACCATACTATTAATATGTTTATTTCTGGCTTTTCAGTTATCCATTAATCACACATGGGACATATGTGGTTAAGTCACATAATCGGTTTTTATTAGGCAAATATTTGTTCTGTGCATCCTGGACAAATGAAATGCATTTTAATCCACATATGGATGAATCAGTCTGTCTGATAGTTACCTGGAGAGTCTTAAAACAATTATTTACACATTCCTAGTAATCATGTGTGTATGTATGTACATAAAGCGCTCAGAAGTTTAATTCATATGCTACTAGACAAGCCTACAAGCTACTCACTACTTCAAGCCCACATTTGGTTAAAATATTTTCAAAAATTAAAAGACCCAAAATATTTGCTTTTTGTATGTCCTTCAATAACTCTTACCAGCACTTGTGTATTGCAGGGTTGTTAAAAGGGAGGCTACAGGCAGCCAGGCCACTTCATCTCATTAAACTGGTCTGGGTGCACCGTCTCTGTCCCCTTAACCTTGAAATGGTAATTATTAAAGTTTTGGAGAAACTGCAATAATTACCTTGCAGGGTTAATACTGCCTCTAGTGGTTGTCAGCCACTAGAGGCACTTCCTGGTGGTTAGGCGACTTTTGTTCGCATTACTGATGCTGGACATACTCACGCTCTTCCAGAGGACATCTAGCAACAGTTAATTCCCCATAGGAAAGCATTGCAACAATGCTTTCCTGTAGGGAAGGCCTAATGCACTTGCGGCTTTGGCCGCACATGCGCACCCCATGTGGGGTGATGTTGGAGGGGGCGGAGCAACAACCCAGTGCTTAGAGTGTTTGTCTGAGACAGTATGTAGGTTGCCATTTGTAGTTAACAGAGGACACATTAGCTGTACTGTTGGCGGAGGTTAGGGACAGATTTGTGGTTCTCGATCTTATTTTAGTAGCACAAGCAATCCCTCTAGGGCTTAGGCTGCTGAGGTACTTGTTACATTGTATAGCGTAGAGCTATTTACACGCACTGTGGTGTTCTTGTGTGGATCATAATTAGCCTTTGTACCAAGTAAAATTGCTATCCATAGATTTTAATTTACATTTAAAGTGGATGGATGTTCAACGGAGTTTGCATTTCTCGGGAGCAAGCTCCTATTTGATTCATTCAAACCAAAACAAGCATAATTATGCTTATAGAACTCAATCTGCATGGGGACTGCAGAAACAAAAGAAGACTGCAGGATTCCAACTCCTTAACACAAATTTTCCTCAGAAACGTCCCTCCAGCCACCATATAGGATTAGAGTCATCAACCCGTTTCTGATGCATCTATCTCCCAAAAAACTAGTCTTACATAACCTTCTAGGATAAAATAATTAATAAGCAATAGCCTTGATACATGCATTACTTAAAAATAACAATAATTGGTTAAAAACTGGGTTATGCAATAATGGCCCGTGTAAACGGAAGGATAGGAAAGTCATGTATGTTTTGGCATTTTCTGTTCACTGCAGATTTCTTCTATAAAATAAAAAAAATCACCATGATATAAAATTAATGGAACAATCCACGCACCAAAACTAAAACAGGGCATAGTAGCAGTTAAAGGACCACTCCAGGCACCCAGACCACTTCAGCTTAATGAAGTGGTCTGGGTGCCAGGTCCAGATAGGATTAACCCATTTTTTCATAAACATAGCAGTTTCAGAGAAACTGCTATGTTTGTGAATGGGTTAAGCCTTCCCCTATTTCCTCTAGTGGCTGTCTCATTGACAGCTACTAGAGGCGCTTGCGTGCTTCTCACTGTGATTTTCACAGTGAGAGCACGCCAGCGTCCATAGGAAAGCATTATGAATGCTTTCCTATGTGACCGGCTGAATGCGCGCGCAGCTCTTGCCGCGCGTGCGCATTCAGCTGCATGGGAGGAGAAGAGGAGGATCGGAGGAGGAGAGCTCTTCGCCCAGCGCTGGAAAAAGGTAAGTTTTCACCCCTTTCCAGAGCCGGGCGGGAGGAGGACCCTGAGGGTGGGGGCACAATCAGGGTACTATAGTGCCAGGAAAACGAGTATGTTTTCCTGGCACTATAGTGGTCCTTTAAGGCAAGTGGTTTTGCTTATTACTTGGAATCAGCCAGTGCTGTTTGCCACCTGCACTGCTTCCACCAGAAAGCCAGAAGTTCCTGGGCAGGAGCTTTGGTTAGCTCTCCTGTGCAAGACTATCTCATTGGCTGAGATTGCCAGTTGCTCGCTCTCAGCCAGTGGCCTAGGCCCTGAATTGCCAGGCAGAGAGCTTTCAGCTCCCTGATTTAAGTAGTACAGGCAGGAAGTGACACCTGGTAAGAATCAAACTATTCTAAAATGGTTTGACGACTTAATATAGAGAGGCGGCACCATAACCACTACAGGACACTTTAGTAGTTATAGTGCAAATGAACTGTCCCTGCAGTTTCACAATTGAAAACACTGCATTTTATGAGAAAAGGCACTGTTTACATTTGTCGCTAAGAACACTCTAGTGGCTGTCATTCATGTCACTTAAGGCACTTCCTGCTGTGGAACTGCCATCTTTGCAGGATCAGTCTTCTGCAAAAGACGTTGAATGCTCCCCATACAGATGGATTGAGTTAATGTATCTCTATGAGGAGATGCTGACTGGCACAGTGTGGCAATTGCCGCACATGCTCAGTAGCCCCCTTCCCCAAAGGTTCCTTACGAAAGCACTGTACTTGCTGAGAGCATCAGTAATTATGATGTTGGTAGGACAAGCCGGGTACTTCAATGCAAAATATAATTTACCTTTACGATATGTTATGTATGACCTTCATAAATAAGTGCAAAGCAGAAAAGTGAAACTGTCATGATGGTTGAACTTTAAAGGAACACTCCAGTGCAAGGAAAATAAATAGTTTTCCTGGTACTGGATGTCCCCTCTGCCTCCCACCCCCCATCTCATGTTGCTAAAGGGGTTAGAGCCCCTTCACTGACTTACCTAAGACCAGCGCCGATGTCCCTCCGCGCTGGTTTAGGGTCCGCCCACACTCCTCCCCCGCTGACATCATCCGGCGGGGGAAACCGATTGCACATGCACGGCCGCCGGCGGGGGAGACCTATTGCGCATGTGCGGCAATGCCGCGCACATGCATTAGACCTCTCCATAGGAAAGCATTGAAAATACTTTCAATGCTTTCCTATGGGGATTTTAGCGATGCTGGAGGTCCTCACATAGTGTGAGGACGTCCAGCGACGCTATAGCACAGAAAACCTGTGCTATAAACCAGGAAGTGCCCTCTAGTGGCTGTCTAGTAGACAGCCACTAGGAGGAGTTAACCCTGCAATGTAAATATTGCAGTTTAAGAAAACTGCAATATTTACAGTTGCAGGGTTAAGGATAGTGGGAGTTGTCACCCAGACCACTCCAATGAGCAGAAGTGGTCTGGGTGCCTGAAGCGTCCCTTTAAGGTTCGAAGCTAGATAAAAGTAGAAGATAGTCACAGATGCAAATAAATGCTGAAGAGCATCTGTTTATTACTCTTCTGTTAAATTTAAGAGATGCATACCTTCGATTTTCACTGGAGAGATAATCAGCAAACATTCGGACAGCCTGCAATTCTGAGTTGGCATTGGAACGGATTTCATCCAGAACTACGCCATATTTCCTCTAAAATAGAGTGGGAAAATAAAAATGTATATGATAGATAAATGAGTATTTAAAATGGAAAAAAACCCACACAGATGTAACATGTAACTAAATGTAGAAAATTGTTACCAGGGTCAATGGGAGAGAATATAATATTGTGCAAAAGATATAATCCACAGTTAAATCAAATTATAACTAACCTGAGCGATGTATGCTCTGTATAGGAATACATCCCTTTCTACTTCTTTTTCTGGACTTGAAGGCTGTAAGATATAACAGATAAGTAATGTGTAGATATGATTAATTATGCAATGCTGCGCATCCGTTCAACACATCCAAACATTATTTCAAAAGTCTTTTGTCAATTTTTCTCCAAAATATATGGCGAGTTGCAGAAAGCTACCAAACTGCACAATTTAGCAGAATTTTCAACTTAATTGTCAAACTCACCACTTATCGATGTTAAGAAACACCAATATCAGGAATACAAAATCTATTCCTGCCACTATAACTATGAAAACACTATTTACTCAGCTTTATTCCAGTGCCACCCCGCTTTTACCATAGGAAAGCATTGTAAGGCTGTTCCACATGCGCAGCAATCTGCTGTACTGCGCTAATCAGCATCTTTTCATAAAGATGTCTTGAATGCATGCATCTCTGTGGGAAGTGTTTAACTCCTCCATGCACAGCGTGGAGAAACTGAACAAAAGTGATGCACACTGTGCACCTCTGACCCAGGAAGCACCTTTAGTAGCCGTCTGAGTGACTGTCACTGGAGGTGTTACTAAGCAGTAATGTAAACATGGTCTTTAAATTAAAGGACCACTATAGACACCCAGACCACTTCAGCTCAATGAAGTGGTCTGGGTGCCAGGTCCCTCTAGTTTTAACCCTGCAGCTGAAACTGCTAGGTTTACACTGAGGGTTAATCCAGTCTCAAGAGGCTGTCTCACTGACAGCCGCTAGAGTCCGCTTCCGCGATTCTTACTGTGAAAATCACAGTGAGAAGACACTGGACGTCCATAGGAAAGCATTGAGTAATGCTTTTTATCTGGGCTGTTTAAACGCTGCAGCTCTTGCCGCGCATGCACATTCAGATCTGACGTCGGCAGGGGGCGGAGAGTTCCCCAGCGCCGAGGGAGCCTAGGCGCTGGAAAAAGGTAAGTGGCTGAAGGTGTTTTAAGCCATTCAGCCCAGCCCGGCGGGAGGGGGGGGGACCAAATGACCCTATAATGCCAGGAAAACGAGTTTGTTTTTCCTGGCACTATAGTGCTCCTTTAACTTTGAGTTCTCCCTTCAGTGAATAACCCTGATACTGTTTGATAATTGTTCACTCTCCCTTTTATTATGTGAAATCAGGTACCTTCTGCCTCCCCATATCACAGCCCTGTACTATGGCAGTCGTTCACTCAGTCAGTATGCTGCCCCCCACCTGCCATGTCTGTCACTCCTTCCTTACCTTCACCCTCTGTGCCTCGTTGATGCTCTGTTGGTAGCTGCCGATATAGAAATTATTTTTCACGTCAAAAAGCTCGTCTACCTCTCCCTGAGCAGCCATGTCTGTAGGTACCGGACACGTCACCCGGTCTGGCCGCTTACTTCCTCCTCTTTGAGACATTGCTTCCGCCTTATGCCGCACGGCATTGTGGGAAACGTTGTCCTGGACCCATGGGCTAATGTCTGGCCTTGACGTCATAGCTGTGCGCCGGAAGTGTCTTGAGTGCACATCACATGTAGCAGAAATGGAGGCTTTCGCTAAGCTCGGTCTCTCTGCTTGGCTTATCGAGCAATGTAAACAACTGGGGATCTGCAAGCCCAGCCCTGTACAGGAGTCCTGCATACCGGCCATACTGGAGGGTGAGTATCCGGGGAGGGGGGAGTCATTCCTCTATGTATGTATGTAGGGAGGCTGTCAGTGACAGGGCTATCCTGTATACTTCCCATTGTGTAGGAAAAAAAGACACAAAACGTAAATATTAGTGAAACCTCTTTGCTACAGTGTCAGTATTGGCTATTTGACCCTACCTTGGGCTTTGTCGAAAATGCTAAATTATGAACTGGAGCCAATTAAAATCCGAATTGTAAAAGTTAAGCTTACATTCGTCAAGCTGTGACTGTAGCTTAAAGGACCACTATAGTGCCAGGAAAGCAAACGCGTTTTCCTGGCACTGTAGTATTAATAGGTTCCCACTCACGCTCTGGGTCCCCCTCCCGCCGGGCTCTAGGGGGAGGAAGGGGTTAAACACTCACCTTTCTCCAGCTCTGGGCTCCTTCGGCGTGTGGAACTCTCCTCCTCCCGACATCATCGGCTGAATGCGAATGCGCGGCAAGAGCCACAAGCGCATTCAGTCAGTCCATAGGAAAGCATTACTCAATGGTTTCCTATGGACGCTGGCGTCTTCTCACTGTAAAAATCACAGTGAGAAGCGCGGAAGTGCCTCTAGCGGCTGTCAATGAGACAGCCACTAGAGGCTGGATTAACCCATATATAAACATAGCAGTTTCTCTGAAACTGCTATGTTTACAGCAGGCAGGGTTAACCCTAGATGGACCTGGCACCCTTTTGCCTAAAATTAACCCCTTGGCGACCGATGACGGTTCAGGACCATCATCGGAAAAATCCCCTTGGGGACCGATGACAGTCTGGGGGTACTTACTTGATCGCCGTCGGTCCCCCGGCGACGATCAATGCTCCTCCCGGTCCAGGGGGACTGCCTGTCTCCCGCGGCAGATCAGGGCCACATGATCACTCGATCACGTGGCCGCAATAGGTGCCTGTGTATCTGCCTGCAGGGGGACTGTCTGTGCTGACAGGCAGTCTCCCTGCATCTGCAAAATAAAATAAAAAAGTTTTAAAAAAATCAATCAGTGTAAAAAAAATAATAATATATGTGTGTGTGTATATATGTATATATATACGTGTGTGTGTGTGTATATATATATATGTATATATGTATGTATATATCATATATAATGTCATACTAAGTGTATTTTTATATATACATATATTAATATAAAAATATACGTATAATTAAATTTCACACGTGTAAATATACAATATATATAATAACGAAGATTTCGTCTAAGGCAAAGGAAAGGTTTTTTTTTACTGTAAGAACAATCAGGATGTGGAATTCTCTGCCGGAAGATTTTATCAGAGTCCAAACAGATGTTCAAACAGCTACTAGATGCATACTTGCAAAAACAGAATATTCAAGGATATAATCTTTCAATGTAGGGTAATAACTGCTTGATCCAAGGGTAAATCTGACTACCATTCTGGGGTCAAGAAGGAATTTTTTTCCTAGCTTGTTGCAAAATTGTGCTTCAAACTGGGTTTTTTTTGCCTTCTTTTAGATCAACAGCAAAAACAAATGTGAGGAAGGCTGAACTTGATGGATGCAAGTCTCTTTTCAGCTATGTAACTATGTAACTATATATATATTATTATAAAATACAAATATTAAAAAAATTATATATATATGTAATTTTATTCTAACAGTATTATATATATATATATATATATATATATTTATATCAAAATACAATGTAATGATATATATATGTATAAATAAAAATAATATGAAATATACATATGTCCATATACATAATTACATAAATAGTTTCATAAATATACACGTAGACGTCAAATATATAAATATGTATATATAATAAAATTCTACGTGCAAATTTATGTGATATTTTTACCTAATTAAAGTAATTTTAATGATTGCAATTTGAGGGACATGCCTGACAACCCAAAAGTCCAGAGAATTTAATTTTTCTAGCACTGTGTTTAACCCTGTTACTTTCTATGACATCCTAAAACCTGTACATGGGGGGTACGGTTTTACTCTGGAGACTTTGCTGAACACAAATATTAGTGTTTCAAAACAGTAAAACATATCACAGCGATGATATTGTCAGTGAAAGTGAAGTTTTTTGCATTTTTCACACACAAACGGCACTTTCACTGATGATATTATTGCTGTGATACATTTTACTGTTCTGATACACTAATATTTGTGTTCAGCGAAGTCTCCGGATTATAACAGTACCCCACATGTAGAGGTTTTATAGTGTTTGTGAAAGTTACAGGGTCAAATATAAGGCTTGATTTTACTTTTTCTTTTTTTTTGAAATTTGTCAGATTGATTAGGTTGCCTTTGAGAGTGTATGGTAGCCCAGGAATGAGAATTACCTCCATGATGGCATACCATTTGTAAAAGAAGACAACCCAAGGTATTGCAAATTGGGTATGTTCAGCCTTTTTTAGTAGCCACTTAGTCAAAAACACTGGCCAAAGTTAGGGTTTTTTGCATATTTAACACACAAATAAATATAAATGCTAATTTTGGCCAGTGTTTGTGACTAGGTGGCTTTCCTATAGGAAAGCTTTGGATTGGCTGAAATCAATTCTGATCTCAACCAAGAGGGGCAGCTGGAATAAAGTTAAGTTTTAACCATATTTAAAGAGGTAAGGGGGTTGGCCACCTAAATAGTGTTTTTTAATACATGTTTGTATTCTTGACCCTATAGTGTTCATTTATGGAGGGAAGCAAATGTCTAGATGTTCACATACTTTTTCACTAAGCCTCGTTCTGCAAAAAAAAACAGAACAATTATATTTACTAATATTTTCTTTTCTTGGATATAGGCTATGGCAGCACTATAGATGGTTGTAGCTCCTCCCCTCTCAAATTGTACAGGAAACTATCTTAATTAAATAATAAAATAGCCCACACCCAAAGTCTTGGTCCTGAAGCCACAGAACAAAATTACCAGAATGAGGGTGGAAACATAGTGCTGCCATGATCTGTATCCGAGAAAAGAAACTAAAAGTAAGTATGATATACATGTTCTGTTTTTCTGGCTATATCCATGGCAGCACTACAGATAGGTGATACTCAAACTAAAACGAAAGCAAACCAAAAAACGAAAATAAGAGGCAAAATAATTTATTAGAAAAACTTTATTATAGGACAGCAAATATCACTTCAGACAAAAGATGGCCTAGAATAGAATATATTGCTACATCCAAACAGTAATGATTAATAAAGGTGTTGAATGATTGCCAAGTCGCTGCAGAAAGTATATAGGAGATGCAGTCACTTTATTTTTTTTTTTATTTAGTTACCAGGTGTTCCTGTCCAAATTAGGATTGGGTGGATCCATACCCATCTGAAGTGCTGACATAAATATATCCAGGGGAGAAAATCTTGTTTCTGTGTTCAGTTACTTTAGCTTTATGAATTTTGTTGTACAGCTGTAACAATTTTCTCACATTAGAAGGTATCATACAGACCACTAAAATACACGCGGGACAGTCGTACATATAAATGTGGCGTTCCCTTTACCTGCTCTAACTTTATATGACCTTTCTTATCTAAGATAGTTTAAAGAACACTCAAATCACCATAACCACTACAACTTGCTGTCACAGAGAGCTGATCAATCCCAGCCACAGCTGCAGGGCCTAGCTCAGTAGAGTTAACAGAAGCTCTTGTTTAGGAGCTTCCAGCAATAGTAGTGTAGGAGGGGATGTGGCACGCAGCAAACCCCAGGTTGAAAGTCAAACCATTCAGCGAGTTGTAGTTGTCATGGTGCTTGGATTGTTCTTTTCATAAAAGCTATCGTCATCGCCAAAAAAAGTACACTTTAGGGAGCTCAGAATGGTAAATAAATTCAACACAGATTTCATTATAAATTATATGGAAAGTGTTTGTGAATATTGTAGTTTTCTAGCAATAATTTTACATATTATTCTTGCTATTTTTTTTTTGAAACTTCAGACCCATATCAGATTTATATATATTTTTTGTTTTTATTTTATTTATTTAGGCCGGGACTGCATGGGCTGTGCCAAAACCGGCAGTGGAAAGACAGCTGCTTTTGTGTTGCCCATTCTCCAGAAACTTTCTGAAGATCCATTTGGAATATTTTGCTTGGTTATCACACCAACTCGGTATGTGCTGTTCATTGGGAATGAGGTGAAATTTAAGTAATTTGTGTTATTATGGTTATGTACACTACCTTAAAGGGACACCTGGTTACCATAACAACTTCATCTATTTGAGTAGTTCGACATGACAAAAGTATGCAATATTCACCTGAGAACAAACGTTTTTAAATATGTAATAAACATTTTAACATTTCATTGTCCTAACCAGTAAGCATAATCTGGAGAAAATATCTATAAATAACAAAAAAATATGAAGCTGTTTTTTCCCCCTTTTTATATGGCTCCACAGATACTGACAGTATATATAGCAAATATATGCAAGGGTAGGATAATAAAATACAAAACAAAAGGTTCTCTTTCAGCACAACCCTATGATAGACAATATTTAATGCACATTGAAGAGTATGTCCTTTTCTAGCTATGGCATTCTCCATTTGATACTAATAAAGGTGTGAAAGGAACATATTATCCTGCAGCTTAATGGCCATCAAAAACATTTTTCAAAATATGAAATCATTTGAAAAGCTTATCCAAAAATATTAATTGAGGCCATCGTTGGATAATTTTAGTCCAGCTATTTTCATCTAAACTTGGTATTTCTAAGTTTAATGAAAACCCATAATTGTATTGTTTGCAAGACTGGAAGTGCTTGTGATGCGTCTCATCCTGCCCTATGTTGGTATTGTATTATAGTGACCCTGTAATGGGGAAAAAATGCCTTAAATCTCCGCCATATCCATATAGTACATCCTATATCACAAAGATATGTGATGTATTCAATGTAAATTTTCAAATCTAGCACCATCATCTTCAGAGCTATGTGGATGTACAACCCACCTCTGGACCATCCACTGATCTTTATTTTTTTCATTTCCCTTTCTTGCGAACTTTTTTGCCAATACGCTGGCTTCGTAGCCAGCATGCCAGTGTCTGAATGGACGACATCAGTTACTCCGTTCCTATTTGGATTCAACTTTATTATCACTGTACATTGTACATATAATGAAACTCAGTTGGCCTCTGATCAGAAATGCAGCAGCAATTAATAAACAATACTATATAAAATGTACTCTCGGTGTAAGCTTTTTAGCTGTCTATGCCTAGTACCTCTACTAATTAAGAAATACAATCCTTACTTCATTAATAAAAACATTTAAAAGCCTAATAATACATTGACATTACACAATAGTGCCACCATATAGAAATTCAACAATACAACCCATAGCCCCTAATCTGAGTAAAATAATTACCCCTTATAAAAACGCCATACCTGTGCAATAGGTGTGCCAAACTAGACATACGGTGTGCCTGTACTCCCTAGCCAGCAACAGAAGCGCCAGCGAGGGAATTTCCATAGCAACTGCAGTGCATGTGCTGTGGTTGTTATTCTTGGGAGAGCTGTAAGACTTGTTGTGGGTGGTGGTTTTGCTTCCATTTGTCAGTCAAATCGTCAGCATAGATTCTATAATGAAGGTGTGAGAGACCTATATTAAAATATTTTTTTTTTTTTTTCAATCTATAAATGTGTTTAAAAAAAACCTGCTAGCACAATGTAAACATAATATTTTCACATTACTGGTTAAAACTCAAACTTACTTGTAAAGATAATATCTTTGAGGGGGAAAAAAGAATGTGCTCGAATATCCCTATATCAACGGCTATTGGTGGCTTGTTTGGTAACTTCCTAAAACCAGTATTTGCATGTAATAACTCTGCGAGAGAATGCATATAGGGATCCTTTTCTGCTCTATGAAAGGCAATTGATGCACTGAAGTGTGGACATTTTTTATTTTATTTATCACAATTTTCTTTCAATTTACACACAACAACCATAAAAAGTATTACATAGTTAATTCAGTAGCATATTGGACAAACATATAGACAAAGGCATACAATCGATCCTTACATAAACTTTTTTTTTTTTTTTTAAATATATATATATAAATTTATTTATTTCTAAAGAACATATATTACTTTTTATTTCCTTATTCATCTTCTTTATCTTCTCATTTTCGCTATATTAGAGGCTTAAACCGAGACATGTTTTGCAGTTTTCCTTTCTCTTTTTTTTTTCCCTTTCTCTTCTTTTTTTCCCTTCCCTTTCTTTCCCCTTACTTTTCTTTTCTATCTATTTTTTTCTCTTTAGCATCCTTCCCTCATAGATTTTGTATTGTATCAATAATTATTTTCTTAATGTAAGAATTATTTCTGGTTATACCCAATTCCATTTTAAATTGAAAAAGCACCTGGGCTTTAATTTCTTTCCATTCTGGTATCTTGTTACTTCTCCAATTTCTTGCTAGTACCATTTTTAAGGCAATAAGAATATGAGTTATCATCATTTTGTTTTTCATTGAAGGCCACTCGAAGTGTAGTAATAAGCTTTCTGGGGTGAGAGGTAATGTCACTCAAGAAAGTGTAAGTGTTTGTGTGTGTGTGTATATATATATCTATATCTCTCCACACTTTTTCTGTTAGCCCATTCCCACCACATATGGAGATAATTGCCTTTATCCCTTTCACATCTCCAGCATTTATCCTGCTGGTCTTTATACAGTTTAACAAGTTTTATGGGGACAAGGTACCACCTATTCACGCGCTTGTAAAAGGTTTTAACGATATTTAAGCAGTGTACTGTTGTATTAACATTAGCCGTAATCCAACCTTCCTTTAATACCACTACATTAAGATCTTTTTCCCACGCTACTTTTATATTGAAATTATTCTCTGGCATTAGGTATTTGTCTAAAAAAAAAATGTAATTCTTAGATATGTAAAGATTTCTTTTTTTGGAAGTGTATACTCTACTCTTCTTGCAGTTGGCTGAAGGTTTTAATTGTTGCCTCAGATATACAGTCCCCTAGGATCTTAATTCCCACATTCTTCCATCTTTTAATACGTATATCCATTATATTTCTTGGAATCAGTTCCATAGGGAGAAAATTCAGTAATAATTTTTTTTTTCTATCTAAACTTTTGCCACACTCTCAAAGATTTTCTCAGATCAGCCTTATTATTATATAAATTTTACCAAAATAATATAAGCATACTATCACATTCTGTCATTTCTGATTCTAACTCATACTACGCCTCTTCTTTAGCATTCTCCCTCTGAGTGATAAAAGCATGGAAAATCATACAGGCATTGTGGTAGTCATATATATTGGGGATAGCTAGCCCCCCCTCTTTTGTCTTTTTTGATAGTAATTTTAAGTTTATTTTTTTTTGCCAAATAAATTTTGAAAAGGCTGTCTGGATCATTTTTTTCCCTCCTCTTCCCCCTTCCCCTTCCCTTTTTTCTTTTCTATTCAGTCTTTACTTTTCTCTATTACACTCTTTTCTTTGACTGCACCAGTATTCATTTTATTTATTGCATTCAGATAGTATGTACATAAAAATCACGAAATAAACATAGGTTAGCATCAGTAAACATAGCAACTTGCTCTTAGTGAGTCACAACCTCAGCAAGGTAAACAAAGTTACAATAACCAGCCATCATGGCCTAAGAGCGATTAACCACTACGTTTATCTATACAGCAATCCTTGGTCACCGATCGCTGGGTCGGCCATTATGATTAGCACCCAGGTGAACGCCAGCACCAAAGCGAAGTCCAAGGTGGAATTCGAGATAGAAGGGATAAAAAAAAGAAAAACAAACCTTTGCATATATTTGCCTTTCTCTCTTTTGAAGCAGGCTAGATTAGTAGCCATGCATGCTTTCTTCTTGCCAATGCGTGTACTCCCACCTGACCACCCACACCAACCTTCAAGGAGGTCTCATGTTTGCCCCGCACTAGGAGACATCCCTCCCTCCCCCTCCCCCCGATCTGCAACGCCCCAAGTGCCTGCCTCAGCCTAAGTGAAATTTAGGAGTCAAGGTCTCCATAGCTCGATACAGTTTTCTGTTCTATCTGACAATGCTGCTGCCTGCTCCTCCATTGATCTTATTTCCTCCATCTTATCCACCCAGTTCTGAATTGTCAGTACTACACGCTGCCACCAGAGGACAGGGATTAGTGACTTGGCTGCAGTCATAAGATATTGTTATTGTTTTCTTATATTTGGAAATTGTCATAGCAGTATGCATTAATAGCATCACAGCCGGGTCAAATGCTATGTTATCGTCCAAGACCTTGTCCATCTCTGCGTGGACTGCCTCTCAAAAAGACTAATGCCCTTATACAATATGCTTGTAAGAAATGAATTACATATCTCACACATTGTTCAAAAATCTAATTTGCATAGGTGGGTACAATCAAAAGTGACTTCAGCTTTTACAACAGTAAGACATAATATAAACAAGTATACTTTCTGGTATTAGATGACTGTTGTTCTTAGGAATAAAATGATCAACATATTTTACTATGAAAATACTAGCTTTTCCTCCATCATTTAAAAGGACAATCTAAGCACCATGATCACTTCACTGCATTGAAATAGCTGTTGTTGTGCCTGGAGGCCCCTTGTGCCATCCCACTTTTCAGTGTTAAACTGTTTTTGAACAATTTGACACTGAATGAGGGTCCCTAAGTACTAACACCCTAGCCTCTTTTTGCTGCTTGGACTGATGCTCCCACATTAACCCGAGCAGTGATCAGCTGAGAACTGTGCTCTTAGCCTGTCACTGCCACACATTGCTGATGTGAATTGGTTAATCTACTTGTCAAAGGGACTAAAGCAGCAGCAGAACTGTTTTGTAACAGTCTTTGAGTGTGTGTGTGTGTGTGTCTTACTAAATAGGATTTTCACCTGTTCAATATTTTGCTAGCGGACTGATTAACATTTAACTTAAGGCCAACAATCCTATGGAGGCTGTGGCTTTTCAAATCTCTCTGACTGTAGTTAATGTTTGTGTCTTCATTCTATATTCTCCAATCTGATTGATTTATGCAGTATTTACATTATAAATGTTGTTTAGACTTGGTAGCTTTAATCTGATTAACCAATAATCTAGATTTGTCTGATGTACATGTTAGTTTGAATTTTAATTTGTGTAATGTTTCCTTGTAGAAAACAGTTCTATTTTATTTTATTTTTTACATATATTTTGTTATCTGCAGAGAACTGGCCTATCAGATTGCAGAACAGTTCCGTGTGCTGGGCAAACCGCTTGGATTGAAGGATTGTATAGTAGTTGGTGGAATGGGTATGTATAATGCACGTCCTTTTAAAAAAAATAAAAAAAATTAAATAAAACTATTTTTGTCCTTCAATGTGAGTATTGTACTCTAGTGCTAGTGAGGGACTGGAAATTAGTTGGAGTTCTAAAAGTTGAAGAAAATTATTATTTTTTTTTTTTTTTCCTTTATAGACATGATTGCGCAGGCTTTGGAACTGGCCAGAAAGCCTCACATTGTAATTGCAACTCCCGGTCGGTTGGCAGACCATATCCGCAGCTCAAACACATTCAGCATCAAGAAAATTCGGTTCTTGGTAAGGCATAGTGACTCAGGGCAAAATGCCATTGTGTAGGCAATGATAACTTTCTCAGGTTCTATAAAGAACACACAAGTAGTTCATATAAAAATGAGAAGTGTACAGTTGAGATTTAAGTCATTGAGGGTTGCTTCAGGTAGTTTCAAGTTCCAGGGCAAAATAGCCACAATGGAAAAATAATCTATCATTTATAAACAAGTTTGGTTAATTTGACCTAGAATTTGAAGTTCCTTTCACTGTTTTTAACAATTCATGATTTAGTAAATAACTGTGTGTTACAGTGCAGGGTTAGTTCACTAAACATTTCAAGGGACACTCTAGTTACCAAAACAACTTTAGCTTAATGCAGCAGTTTGGGTTTATAGATTATGCCTCTGAAGTCCCACTGCTCAATACTCTGCCATTTAGAAGTTAAGTTAATTTTGCTTCTCTTTATTTATCCCTAGCCATTCCTTCCCTGAGTGTCACTCACACTGCCTGCATGAAAACAAATGTTAACTTCTAAAGATTTTATCTCCTGCTTAGCAAATTAAAGTTTAGTCACACACGAGTCTCCTGCAAGCTATTAACAGTGCAGGGCATTATAAATAAAATAGAATTTGCAATAAAGGAAGTATAAACATTAGATCTAACCTTACAGGAAGTGTTTAAGAAGACTGTGTAAATCACTTGCAGGAAGGTGTGACTAGGGCTGTATATAGAAGTCATTTAACTCCTAAATGGCAGAGAGTTGAGCAGTGAGATTGCAGGGGCACGATCTATACACCAAAACTCCATCATTAAGCTAAAGTTGTTTTGGTGACTATAGTGTCCCTTATAAAAGGATCCCTATCCCCTTAACCCTGAGTGAAAACATTATAGTTTTAGAAAAGTTGCAATGTTGTCATTGCTCGGTTAAGGCTGGCTCAGACAGCCACTAGAAGCACTTCCTGCAGTTTCACAGAGAACGATGCTGGATGTCCTCGCTCTTTGCATGAGGACATCCAGCGTCTTCCAATCCCCATAAGGGCACAGAGGGACAATATAGTGTTAGTAATACAGGTGTTTTTTTTTTTTTGTTTTTTTTATTCTTAACACTATAGTGTTCCTTCAAATAATTTAGGGGGCTATACTGAATATGTATCAATGTTTATAAATAAGACTTTTGAAAAAACTGGCAAAGGCTTTAAAACAATAAACAATATGGTGTATATAAGTAAACTACATTAATTTCAACACCAGTGCATTGTACGCCCTTTTCTCAGTATTAGATGAGAATCAATATCTTCTAAATTATTTTGCACATAGCTTGCCACATTAAAACATAAATTACATTTGGAAAGAAAAACCATGCCTTCTTCCAATTATATAGAGTTCAAGTAGAGATTGCAGCCGTATTAGTCCAGTGATGCAGATTGACAAGCTTTCGGGAGAACCTCCCTTTCTCAAGTCTAAAGCATTTCTTAGCAAAGACAACACATAGAATTCAAAATTGAGTTATGATACAGGGGTTAAAGCTACATGAGTGCAGATAAGACATAGGTTTGATAGACACAGAGTGAGGGTGGGGGGAGAGAGTCTGCTTGCACTGTTTGCTTGTTTTTTTTCCTCTCTTTCCCCCTAAAACAGAAATGCTTTAGACTTGAGAAAGGAAGGTTCTCCCAAAAGCTTGTCATTAAAAAAACGATATTAGTCCAGTAAAAAAGTATCACAAGATATGAATTTTATCTGTTTTTACATCCAATTATATAAGTTGAGTCAATAAATGCAATGTGCAAATGCTGCCACCTAGTGGTCAAATCACTGTAATTACTTACAAAACAAGTTGAAAAGCACCCTTTATGTCTGTCAGTTCTGCACCAAGTGACATGCTTTCTAAGTCTTGATGGCTTTTTAGATAGATAAGATATGTACTGCTAATGAATCTGTTTCCCAAAAGCTTATAAAACAAACAAAAAAAAAGTTTGATAAACATGTATTATAACTCCCATTTTTTAACAGTTGATGGAACAGTACCCACTATTCTAGTACGTAAAGTGAAAGGCTTAAATCTTCAAAGATAAAACCAAATTTCCTGATTGTGTGTAATCCTTTTGTTCATTTTGACAAACAAAATAAAAAAATAAATAATTGATATGAAGTGGTCTGGGTAACTTTACTGGTCATTTAAATCACAACCTGGCTGCAGACACTGTGCTTTGTACCGATCAATCCGTTAGTGGCTGAGCTGATAAGGAAGTCTTTCTGGAGTGAGTGGGTGCAGCATTCTGCAAAACATATTTTATGTACAAAAACTACAAAGAATTTTGCATACAACACAGCATATTAATGAGGCAAAACCCTGTCAAATCCAATGCATTACAGTTGCACTGGTGCCCACAGCGTCCCTTTAAATTTTCAGTCTGTAACGATTCGGAATGTGTTTCTCTCTCCTGTTCCCTTCTAGGTTTTAGATGAAGCTGATCGTCTATTAGAGCAGGGGTGCACAGATTTCACCCAGGACCTTCAGGTGATCCTTAGTGCTGTCCCTGCCCAGCGCCAGACACTGCTGTTTAGTGCCACTTTGACAGACACTTTGCAGGAACTGAAGTCCATCGCCATGAACAAGCCCTTCTTCTGGGAATCCACTTCAGAGTAAGGGGCAGGTTAAACATGTACATCCAAAGACATTTATACCATCTATAGAAAGATTACTTAGAGCGCCACCCTAAGCTGCATCATTACTACAGTGCGTTGTGTTGGTTATGGTAATAGCATGCCCCTAGCACCGTCCCCCTGTTTTGTGTCAACTAGTTTCAAACTGTTTCACACAAACCTTTAGTCCCCGGGATACCTGTGGCCAGGCTCTTCACTCACTGTATCCCTATTGCAGTTACATTTACACATTCGCAATATAAATTCCGTCTATAATTAGAAAACATTCACAGGCTGAACGCTTCAGCTGAGCTTGAGTGTAAGTGAATGTTGATTACATTCTCACTGTGAGTGGACATATACTAGCTGTCCAATCACAGACTTTCCAATACTGCTGAGTGAGAAGCATTTGCAAGGTGAGTGTTCTAGGCAGCTGTTGCCTCTTGAGTTTACCAGGAAGTAACAGGACTGGTTGTCTGACAACCAGTTGGTGTAACCAAGTTAGTTTTTAATAGTGATCATTTCCAGAGTGTCCCTTCAATGGTGATTATGGAAGTGGAAGGTGGTTATATATATTTTTTTAATTTAAACTCTGGTCTGTGTCCAGCTCCATTGCTTTTGATGTCATTGTGCTCATGAGATCATATATTAAAGCCTTCCCCTTTTAGAAAACTATGCCTTTTTGTATTACTGACGTGCGTCAATTCTATTAACTGTTAAAATGACATTTTTGTAAATTCCTCTTTAGAACGTTTTTTTTTTTTTTTTGAAGGAACACTATATAAGGTGAGGAACACAAACTCTGGCCTCCTAGATGTTGCTGAACTAGAATAGGCAATCACGGTGCCCAGAAAATCTTAATGTACAGTAATTCTGTATTCTATATATGTTTTACTCAAAATATACTCACACCAATTCCGATATAAGCAGAAAGTCATGTACAATCATATTTAATTGTATGCTTTCCTGCCCAAGGAAGCAATTTCCACATCACAGAGGTTCACGATATGGTCTTGTGCTATTTCTATAGGGTGCGAACAGTCGAGCAGTTAGACCAAAGGTATGTCCTGGTGCCTGAGAAGGTTAAGGATGCTTATCTGGTCCATCTGATTCAAAAGTTCCAGGATGAACATGAGGACTGGTCTATCATGATCTTCACAAACACCTGCAAGTAAGAAATATTTGTGTAAATAAGGAGGAGGAGTGTTTAATCTATTTATCTGATTTGGCATAGTGTAAATGAGCGTTCTGATCAAGAAGACAGTAGAACTGTTGATGGGTAACAGGAGGGGAATGTGTAAAATGAGTACATGCATGTAAGTAAAATGCTTGCCAGCCTAGGAGTAAATGAAGAAGACACGCTCTTTAACTGACAATGTTTGGTGCCTGGTGTTAGAATTTGTGTGATAAGCAGTGATCGAGTTTTGAATGATTGGCTACTGAGTTTGTTAGTAGTTTACTAAAAGTAACTGTGATGATGGGAATGCAATGTCCTGCTGTCTGACCTTAGATGTCTTCATCCTTCAGAAACTGTCAGGTTCTAAACATGATGCTGCGTGAGTTCAACTTCCCATCTGTGGCCTTGCACTCGATGATGAAACAGGTAAAGAGTCTGAAGAGAGCTTATAAAGCCAAGCTGAATAACCTGTTTGTATCAATCAGATGTCTTTGTACAAAATCCAATGTATTAATCATTTCCATAATTTTTAAAAGCATTTATATTGTACCAGATACATTGCATTAATAATTTCCATAGTTATTTTTTTTTTTTTTTTTTTTGGTAAAAAATCCATTGCATTAATCATTTCCATCATTATCAATCATTATTTTATTTTTTTTTCTCTTCCAATTCTTCTTTATAGAATTTTTTTTTGCAGTAATCTCTTTACCCCATTCTCAGAGAATGTTGGCTCTTTGGTACTGAAACATTAATATGATGCATGTTTTATCTTCCTCCAGAAGCAAAGATTTGCTGCTCTTGCCAAGTTCAAATCTAGCATCTACAAGATTCTCATTGCGACGGATGTGGCTGCCAGGTATGCAGTCGAAGCACTGCCGACATTCTTGTATACTGTTGCTGAGGGTTCGTCCTCTGTGTGGAACCAGCTTACAATACTCTGCTCTAAATGCAGATAATTATGACTCATGAAAACTAAGTGGCCCATGTGCTTTGCTTATATTAACATGCCAAATTTTCCTTTGTCTTAAAGATAATTATACACATCCTTAGTATTAGATTCTTCTACTGTTGGCCATTACAACTTGCTGTCTGTTATTTTTCAAATCTGGTACTATTTCTGTAAAATAGCATTTGCACATCACAGCTAAATCCTACTACTCCCCCCACCTACCATGTTGCAGTTGCCTGTGCCTTAAGCAGAAATAAACAAAATTCCACTGGCTTGTACAATGTACAGTCATCTGTTGTGTGGGATATCTTGACTTGTTTGGTGTCACTAAGCCAGTAGACACGTTTGTCAAGCCCACCTTCCTATAACCCAGGAGTTATGGTTGGAAATTATAAATAATTTTTGGACTAACATATCATACTTTTGTGTGTATGTGTGTTGTGTTTTTTTTTTTTTTTTTTAAATCTCTGGCTCATTTACATTTTAGACAGTAATATGGGAAAAAATACCTACCTAGTACATAGGTATATGAACTTGCAAGGATGCAAAGGACATCGGCTCCGCTATCTAACAGTTTTCCAAATGCAAAAGAACACAGATGTCCAGTACTCTTTGATGTTTACTAAGATCCCTTTATAGTTCCCAATTAGCAGCAACATTTAGACAGAAACTTTGTCTTTATTAAGCTTGATAAATACAGGGTTTCTCTTGAAATGTTGCTGCAATTTGTGGATGCCAATAAAGGGATCTTAATACACAATAAGGCTTGTTGGACATTTGTGTTTCTTTTATATTTTGTGTGCTGGTACATACAATGAGGTGGGGGAGCTACACATTACCCCTCCCTCCCCCACATCCTTTGTCCCCAATACACCTGTGCACATTATTGTCTATATGTCAATGAAGGGAACCCAGATTTATTTTCTGCTTTTCTTTCTACCTAGGGGGTTGGATATTCCTTCTGTCCAAGTTGTTATCAACCACAATACCCCAGGACTGCCTAAGATATACATCCATCGCGTGGGACGTACAGCAAGAGCAGGTGGGAGTCCTATAACATGGAAACCTCAAGCTAATGTGCCTTTTAAGACAAATCCCCAGGATATTTAAATATCATGTGAATTCTACTTAGCACGGCAGAGCCTCAAATAGTTTCAGGTCCCTAGCATGTGGTAAATGTGTATAGAGAGTGTGTTAACAAATATGTACTCTAAATTATGTAAATATTTAAATCCGTTAGTTTAAAGCAACAAACCTGCCCTTTTTAGTTGTAGAAAATTTAAATTTTGTGTTCTAATAGCACTTTTAAGAATTGGGTCGAGGTATATAGTTTTACACTTGCATACACCAATAACCGCACTGATAGTCATTCTTTCTACAAAAGAGCTGAATATGCTGCTTAAATTGCAAATGTGTACAAGACTGCACCTTTAGAGTACTGTACACTAGATTTTGCACAAATGAGTTTCAGTTGCTACGAATGAAATCTAAATCTGAATTAATCCATTTGTGCAGGATTTACTTGTGGAGTCTTGTTCAGTGACTAAGTTTCCACAAGTAAATACCAGACAGATGGATTAATTCGGTCACAGATTAAAATGCCTTTGATTCGTTCTTAGCAGCTGAAACACGTTTATGCACAAGTCTAATATACGGAAACCAAAAGGGTAAAAAAAATAAATCGAGGGGCGTGGCCTGACTGTGCAGCAGTGCAGACGCACAAACCGAGAGCTCCTGGGCCTCAGACCAATTACTGGCTAAAATCGGGGGCAAACTAAGTAATCCTGATCCCCAATTCATCACAACTTGATCGGCAGACATTGATGAACAGGGGGATACCTCACACGCCCAGAAATAACGCCGGAATGACCAAGCTGAGGCTTGGGGCCTATACCAAGCAGGGCAATGGAGAGGCGGCCGCTCTCCCAGCCCATAACCGCATGCAGCACCCGCAGCAAAAGGCTACCCCCCCCCCCTTAGGACCGGTGGGGGTTATCCCGGTCCCAATCACCTCGACGGGCAAGCCCCAGTGGACCCTAAAAGCGGACACCGACCCCATCCACGCACCGAACTTGCATGCAGCCCGCCATGTCAAAATGGCAGACACGCAGCCTCGTGGACAACCTGGGCCTCCACCACTAAGCCCCAACACAAGCGACTCCCTCACTACCCGCCTAGACGGGCTGTTTGAGGCCTTCTGGGCAAGATCGCGGCCCGACATAAGGAAGAGCGATCCAAGCTGCTAGAGATCGGAGGTACGGAGGGCCAACAAGGCGACACAGTTTGGAGTGGGACCAGACTGCCTTTGGGCAAAGCCATGAAAACTCAGTCCAAGAATCTCCACACCAGCCCATCTGGGCCCAGGGCCAACAGGGGATTAACCCCGATGCATCAACCACGTAGGCAGAGTTCCACCCGACGGCGGCATACCACCAACCCCAGGAACTCCAGACCTACCCCGAAAAGGAAGGACTTGGCCTTCAATAGTCCCCGAGTCCGTGGCTACAAGATGCCGGCCCTGATACAGGCCCGGAGCGAGAAGGCACCTCTGGTTAGCTCCTGGCCGACCGCCAACCTCTACACTACCCCACGCAAGCCCCAGAGGGCACAGCAGCGCCCACCCGTGGCGAAAGCTCTACCAGCACGCAAGCAACAGAGCCCAATGAAGCCACCAGCAGCACGGAGATGGGAAATATCAAAGGACAAACCTCAGCCCTGCATCAAACCTTGCAAGCCATGGAGAGTCGGGTCCCTGACCACAAATCAGCACAGCCTCAAACCTGGGACACAAACTGGTAACAACGTTCCCTTCCTAACCAGCGTCTGGAAACGCCATAGCAGGATAGCAGAGCAGCTGGATTCCGGTAAACGACCGCTAAGCGGCATCGGTTGACTGAGCCTGGCAATACCAAGCACCAAGCAGCGCAGAGCCTGGGCCGCTTTTATCATATATTTTTTCTTTTTTAGCTTCTCAAATTTAAACTGGCCCACTGCTGATTGACTCTGAGTTGCATGACTGCGCTGACTTATTCTTCTGATTATAATTATTGTTTTTATTTGAATTGTCTAGGCCTCACGTAAATATCCAGTGACTGCCATACGCCCGCTGGGAACGTGCTTTTAGCTAACTGGGGGGCCCCCTAGGGGTTAAACTCGTAGAAAAGACATCTGTTTCACTCTCCTTGTAAAATACTCGTGCCACAGAAATCCCTGGGTTAAGCTTGTATACTCTACCTTTTATTAACATAGGGTTTCTAGCCTGTATTTTTCTAAGTCTTACAACACAATCTGTGATTCAGCCTGTTTCTTTATACTAAAAAAGTGCAACTGTTTTAAATGTCATGGCAATATATGTAAATGTTTGACCATAATAAGCCCGCGGATGCTGTGGTGGCTATGTGAGCTTGTATGTTATTCTTTTACTGCACACTAAAATAAAGATAAAAAAAATTTAAAAAAAATAAATCAAACGCTTAGTATATTCCTCTATATCTCTAGATGATGTTTTGTGGTCATGAATGTTTTCCATATATCCTTATCTATCTCTTTCAGGGCGAAAAGGTTTGGCAATCACTTTGGTTACACAGTATGACATTCATCTAGTAAATGCAGTAGAAGAGCAGATCAGTGAGTATCTTTTGTCCTTCAGTTTATAACACAGGTTGTATGTTTCTATTTTTTTTGGGGGGGAGGGGGAACGGTAAACTGATTTAAAAAAAAAAATATATATATTTTTTTTGTTCTCAGTCATTGTAAGCCCGTTTGAGAAAGGTCAACCTGTTTTTCCTTATAAAATTTGTAATAACTTATCCCATTTCTTTTTAAATTCTCCTTTGATAATATTGTAAAGCGCTAGGGGATAAGTTGGCACTACATATATTGCAGTAATCTTAATAGATATTTTAGTGTACCATATAACAGTCCTTTATTGGTGTTATTACTTCTCTAATTTATATATATATATAATGGTAGGTGCTAATGGGTCCCCAGGTTCATTTGAAAGTGAAAGTTACACTTCCTAATTAGCAGTAACACTTTTCTTCAAATATATAATCCATTAATTGACTGAGGCTGTCAGCTGACCTGCTTAACCAGTTTGTCATAACACATATAGCTTCATGTAAATAATACCCAAAAATATAGAACAATATTTACCAACCTTTATATTTTGCATTAAAAAAATCTTACTTGACTAAAAAAAAAAAAAATCATTTTTGTGATATTGTGAAATGTGGTGAGATGATTGTGTGTATGTATGTATGTGTGATCACTTTTAGTTCCTGCATGTTTATCAGAGTTTTTTCCATTCTTTTTATTAAGCTCAACATATGTATTTTTATTATTTACCACTTTTTGTGGGAATTGCAAAATGTAAGATAAACTGCTAAATTGAAAACCTTTTCCATCTTGACGGATTGCTGTTTTTTTTTCTGGTTGACCGTTTAAGCCTAAAGTTAGCAGAGTTGAAAGGGTTTTTTCCTTTATGGCTGCTTTTGTTTGAACACACTTGTCAGTTATCAACTTTTCTCCATTTAGTTTACATCTCCATTTATATTTTTGGTGACTCTCATTCTTTAATTTTTGATCTGACAATTTATTGTTTAGTATTGGATTATGTAAAGTTATATATCTTCTCATTTTACCTGTCATTGGTGTTACCCAGAGACACTCTAGCTCCGTTATGGCCTACTAATTCTGATTTTTAAATAACCTCCCCTCAGATATGAAGCTACAGGAATACTCTGTGAAGGAGAGCGAGGTGCTGAAAATCCTCACCCATGTCAATGTGACCCGAAGAGAGTGTGAAATTGTAAGTTCATCCCTGTTTTTTTTTCTCTCTCCAGATTAGAGGCAGTGCACAACAGGGACATCCACTCTGTCTGGACAGGAAAAGGCAGGCAGTCACCTAGAAATTTAATAGTTAAGCCCTTCCTAACACTCCTCCATAAAATATAAAATCCCAACATGTCCTAATAACCCCAGGTCTCTGCCTGCCTTTGGCAGGCTAGGTAGGCACTTACGCTTTTGTTTTCAGGAGTACGGTAAGGCAGCGACTGAGTCCAAGGAGGACTCAGCTCCAGCGAGAACATAGGTCTTCAGGCGGGCCTGGCTCTTCCCTCTCCTGTGCCTAACGATGAAACGCACATTGTGCGTCTGCGTTCCTTTTTGCCTGTCGATTCCCGTTAGTTTCAAATATTTTTCTCTAACATATAGTGGCAGTACCAGAGTGGGGTTTGTATTCCCTTTTGGACAAGCCGATTGCAAAATAAGATCTACAAATTTAAATAGTCCCTCCTCCTTAAGAGTCCAGATCTCCTTGCCAGTATTTTTTCTTGTCGCATTTTGGGACTGTCAAGCGGACCACAAGTTGTCAAGGCTGGCGAGGTTGACATGTTGCTGTCTGAGGGACCCGGTCTGCTAGCTCCATGGGTGGCGAGCTGAAAGACCGTGCTCCGAGACTAGTTATAGAGCAAATGAGCAGTAACTGTTTTATGCCAAGTTGGATTCCTGGCTACTACTGGACTCATTCCCAGATGGCTCTCAAATTATAAGGCAGGCTCTACGCACAACGGTGGAATACTTTCCGGGAGATCTTTTGTGCCACTGAAGTTCCAAATGTGCTGATGTACATGCACAATTCGGAACTTTAGAAATTCAGAATGAGGCCTTTACAGAAAAACATTTTAGTGGAATGGGACAGAGGGACATCTTCTCAAGATCAATTGATGAAAATCTGGCATTCATCAATAAGAAGTTTCTGTTTGTGTACGACTTCTCAATTCCTGACAGAAGGTCTTTCATTCACAATGAAGAATTACTGTATACCACAGATGCTTCAATATATGGTTGGGGAGCTCATCTGGGAAAATATGTGACAAAAGGACAATGGATAACTCAGGATTTCCGGAAGTCAAATTACTGGGAACTCCTGAGTTTCAAGAAACATCTAAGGGACATCATGTGCAGATAAGATCAGAAACTTCTACCACAGTTCTGTATTTAAACAGACAAGAAGGGACTTGTTCTCACTCCCTGGCTAAGTAGTGCTCCAGAATGATGCTGTGGTCACATCATCTTCTCTTCCTTTCTGCTGAACATATAAAAGAAGTAACCAATACTTTAGCAGATGCACGAAGCAGGGAGATTGTTCTCTCTCCAATCAAACTTTCAAGGAAGTCTTATTGAGATTTGGAAATGCCACCATAGACCTGATGACCTCGGGAACAAACAGGAAAACCAAAGGTTTGCCTCATTCAACCAGTCAGATAATCCAGACATTTGTGTATGCCCTAGAGATTCCCTGGGATTTTCAGCTGGCCTTCATTTTGCCCCCAGTTCTTCTTATTCCAAGAGTTTTACAAAAAATCATTTGGGACAAAGCAAAGATCATTGAGATTCTTTCCCTCTGGTACCAGAGAAACTGTTTTTCAATGTCGTTGAACCTATCAAAGAAAGACTACTGGCATCTTTCAATGTCTGTTGATATTTTGGAACACAGCCTAGTTCCTCTATAGAATCTCAAGACTTTAAAGCTTACTGCATTGGTATCTGAATGCCAGATCCTAAGTCCCAAGGGTCTAAGCCCAGAAGTTATTGACATCCTGATTGCCGCCAAAAGGATTCCACCGTTATAGTATATTCCAGGATCTGGAAGAAATTTTCTTCCTAGTACCAGGAGATTTCTTCCTTTCCTCCTAAGGTTTCAACAGACAACCTGAACCAAGAAATTATTTTCCCAATATCTACAGAATTTCCATTGCTTCGATGTCAGACACGCTCTACAGGGATATTTAGAAAGGGGGGGAAAAACTACCTTTTCGTCCTTCTGAAAGGTTGTTAGTACTTTATCAGGGTCAATAGAAAGCTTTAATGGCATCAAAAGGTTAATTGGCAAGATGGATAAAATAAGCTAACATTCTTGCATAAAGGTCTTCCAATGCTTCTCCTCCTCTCTAATCAAAAGCTCATTACCTAAGGGCAATTGCCACATCATGGGCATTCAGGGTTTCAGCTACTCCTCAGATTTGCAAAGCAGGTACCTCGTCCCCCATTCACACTTTTTCCAAACACTATACATTAGACATACAGATCTCTTCATTGTTCTTGTGCACTGCCTCTAATCTGGAGGAAAAGATCACATTTTACTTACCATAAGTTTATGTTAGAAGCAGTGCACGTATTTTCCTCCCTGTTTAATAAATATAGTTATTAGAACACATTGGGATTTTATACCAGACGGAGGAGGAGTATTAGGAGGGCTTGACTTTTACATTTCTAGGTAACTACCTGCCTTTTCCTGCCCAGGCAGAGTGGATATCCCTGTTGTGCACTGACTCTAATCCTAACAAAAATAAATGTACAGTAAATCAAATTTTATCTTTTGTTTTCTTCTGTTGCTTAGCCACTGGCAGAAATGTACTCCAAATGTCTGTTGGCTTTGTCTGCAAATAGTCTAATAGTGATACATTGTGTCTTTTTGCTCCAGAAACTAGAATGCACAGACTTTGATGAGAAGAAGGAGATAAACAAGAGAAAGCAGCTCATTCTTGAGGGAAAGGTAAGAAGTGCTAACACCTCTATTTAATGTAGTGCATACGAATATCTAGCCTCTACTAACAAAGGTGGATGCCTTGGATCTCCTTTTATTAATCCCAGCCATTCGTAGAGGAATACATGGAAAAAGAGGTAGTGTGATAATAAAGTAAAGAACATAAGGCCTCAGATTTCTTGATAATACTACTTTTTAAGGTAGAATACCTGCCTGTATAGGTCTGCTTTTAGATACACACTATTTTAATAATTACAGCTGTTTTTGTAAGGTAACCTATCCAAGTTATGGTCTTGACATATTTACCTATCTATTTTATTGAAGGATCCTGTTCTGGAAGCAAAACGGAAAGCAGAGCTGGAGAAAATTAAGAAGCAGAAGAAGAAATTCAAGGAGCACATTCAGGAGTCCATTCAGCAGAAGCACGATGCCCAAATACGCAGGAAATTAAAGAAGAAATTTCTGCGACAGGAAAAAAAGGCAGCAAAGTCCCAGCAATGACAGTACTCCCTCTTAAGGGGAAATAAGTCCACCAAAAATACATGGATAGACCTGAAGGTCTAGATCTTCCATGCGGGGTCTAGACTGTTTATCATCATCCTGATGGCTATGGCTTTTCTGGCCTCTGTTGTACAATTCAACGTGTAGCCTTGGATAATCCTCCCCACTGCAACTTTGGAACCAAGTGCCTTTGATTATTACACTTGACATGCTTAATTCCTGCTGTCAAATCTTTTGTAGTAAATGCTGATTGTTATTATCCTGAATACTAGCGATCTACACATGTGGCTGTGTATTGTCATGGTTAACATTCTCCAAAATATGAGAGTGGCTTACCTGGGATTTAAGAGGTTTTAGTTGCCATTCTTCATAACGTTTGCTAGTATTTTGAATGTCTCGTGATAAACATGGCCGGGATCTTGAAGGCCATGTCTCGGATTTTCACAGTTTAAAAGTCATGGATATTTTGTCATCTGTTGTTCCAACACAGTCTGCAAGAATGATCTTTATTATTATTTTGTTAATGGGAAGTTTCAGTTCTGTGCTGATTTTATTCAAGGACAATGCAATGCCTAACAGCCATGGCTGTCTCTTAAAACAGTATTGCTCTTTGGTCATCTGTAGAAATTAATTTAATTTGCATGTATAATTATATACTATTTTTGGGAACCTTGCACTCGACTGCTTTGTATAAATCACTTGCCCAAGTGTTTCACTAGGTCCCGTGTCTTGGTAAAAAAGTCTTCTTTTTGTTTATTGCGTAAAATGTATAAACTGACAGATGAACATTTAAGTCCATGAAAGGAACTTTTTCAAGATACTGAATGCAAATCAAACCCCCTCCTAATTCACCAAAACAAGATTGCTAGTCCAAAAGACATTAACTGTATTCATATCCTCTTTACTAAAAGAGGTTACATGGTAACGGAATGGATAATGTATTTAAGAGATTCTGTATTCTCTTTGGATTTGCAATATTAAAAGATGATGTTCCTAATTCCTTTTGCTATTTTGTAACTAGTAACTAACAGAAATGCATTATACTCTGATTACCTCCCAGTTAGGAGGGTTCTGTTTATAAGATTATGTATTGAATATGTTTTAGATAGAAAAGTACACCCTTCACATTTTTGTAAATATTATATTTTATCTTGTCATGTGACAACACTGAAGAAATGCCACTCTGCTACAATGTAGAGAAGTGTACCACCTGTATAACAGTGTAAATTTGCTGTCCCCTCAAAATAACTCAACACACAGCCATTAATGTCTACAAAAGTGAGTACACCCCTGAGTAGAAATATCCAAATTGGGCCCAAAGTGTACAAATATTTTGTGTGGCCACCATTATTTTCCAGCACTGTCTTAACACTCATGGGCATGGAGTTCACTAGATCTTCACAGGTTGCCACTGGAGTCCTCTTCCACTCATCCATGACAACATCACGGAGCTGGTGGATGTTAGAGACCTTGCGCTCCCCCGCCTTCCATTTGAGGATGCCTCACAGATGCTCAGTAGGGTTTAGGTCTGGAAATATGCTTGGCCAGTCCATCATCTTTACCTTCAGCTTCTTTAGCAAGGCAGTGGTTGTCTTGGAGGTGTGTTTGGGGTCATTATCATTTTGGAATACTGCCCTTCGGCTCAGTCTCCGAAGGGAGAGGGATCATGCTCTGCTTCAGTATGTCACAGTACATGTTGGTATTCATGGTTCCCCCACTGCCGGCAGTACTCATGCAGGCCCAGATCATGACACTTCCACAACCATGCTTGGCTGTAGGTAAGACACACTTGTCTTCGTACTCCTTACCTGGTTGCCGCCACACACACTTGACACCATCTGAACCAAATAAGATTATCTTGGTTCCAGTAATCCATGTCCTTAGTCTGCTTGTCTTCAGCAAACTGTTTGCGGGCTTTCTTGTGCATCATCTTTAGAAGAGGCTTCCTTCTGGGACGACAGCCATGCAGACCAATTTGGTGCAGTGTATGGTCTGAGCACTGACAGGCTGACACCCCACTCCTTCAACCTCTTCAGCAATGCTGGCAGCACTCATATGTCTATTTTCCAAAGACAACACTCGACTATGGTGAGGCCTGTTCTGAGTGGAACTTGTTCTGTGAATCGGTTGTATGGTCTTGCTCACCATCCTGCTCGAGTGCAAGGTTCCCAAAAATAGTATATAATTATACATGCAGTATCAAGGTCTTGGCAATCTTCTTATATCCTAGGCTATCTTTATGTAGAGCAACAATTTATTTATTTTCAGATCCTCTGAGAGTTTTTTGCCATGAGGTGCCATGTTAAATTTCCAGTGCCCAGTATGAGCGTGAGAGAGCGATAACACCACATTTAGCACAACTGCTCCCTATTAACACCTGAGACCTTGTAACAGTAACCAGTCACATGACACCGATGAGGGAAAATTGCTAATTGGGCCCAATTTGGACTTTTTCACTTAGGGGTGTACTCACTTTTGTTGCCAACGGTTTAGACATTAATGGCTGTGTGTTGTTATTTTGAGGGGACAGAAAATGTGCACTGTTATACAGGCTGTACACTTACTGTAATGGCACCCCTGGTAAGAGAAAGGGTTAACGCCGCCAAAGTTGTTCTTTTCCCCTGATTACAAAGTCAGCTACCGAACACTCCTAAGCACCGAACAGGAATCATATGAAATATCCCCCAAGCACAAGACAAGGCTCTGTGTTGAGTCAAGCAGGATCTGTTTAATGGTGGCCACATATCGGCCTTTTATGCAGGTCTTCCAGCAAGGTATATTACCATAGGGACTTTGAGGAAGACTGAGACATTTTTACAGTATCCAATTAAATGCAGTTACAGTATGAAAACTCTCCCACACAAACTGTGCAGCAACTCCTCTCTCTCCTGGAGATATTTGGGTTAAGTGCCTGAAGTAACTCAATTACCTGCAGGGATAGAAAATATTCCCATTTTACAATAATAGTAAAAAATGCATAATTCCTATTTCACCGAACGGAACCTCTATGTTCGACATATCCTCAGATAGCTTGGATCTGAGCCCTCAATATAAGCGAACAGCGCTCAGATCGCATACATACAGTCAAATCGCCATGGAGCTAAAGTGTGTTCACTGTGCGTTCGGCAGAAAGAATGAGCTCCATGGGTCTAGCTATCTGGGACAGTTCCATTTGTGGATTGTCAATATACCTAACGGCACGGCCTTCGTATGAACTGGAACGAATAGATTGATGGTTGGTGATCTCAGCAGTGTGCGTGGGAAACTGTACGAAATTAGTTCGATGTGGTTGACAACGAACACTGCTGGGCGTTCAACTGTTTAAAATGGCTGCCGCCATGTGTTCGTTCATCGAACGACGACCACCCAGCCGACCGTTCGGGAGTTGGAAGTGGTTGCGGTTAACCACAATGTTAATAAGGTCAGAAAGGTTAACGAGCAGCACACTTCCCTGCTGGGTGGCCCACCATTCAGTAGTTAGTTCGTCTATTAGGGAATGCAACCAGGAAACACACGAACAACTGGGGATTGGCGAACAAACAGACGAAATAGTCTCAAATATTAATCCAGAGGCAGTAAGGTCTACCAAACTTACTACTTTACATTGTAGCAGAGTGTCATTTCTTCAGTGTTGTCACATGAAAACATAAATTATTTACAAAAATGTGAGGGGTGTACTTACTTTTGTGAGGTACTGTAGATATAGATATATATATATATATATCATGTAATGTAAAATATAGATATATATAGTTCATGTTTCTTTTGCAAGGCATTTTTCTTTTGGTAATGATGTTTTGTTTTTGTTTTACATTGATATGTTTGGTTGTTTTTGTTTTTTTGTGGGGAGATCCAATCTGGGTGTTCCAACTGTAGGTGAACAATTTTTATTGGGTGAAATGTAGTTCGTCTTTTGGGCTAGTAACCTATTTTGGTGAACTAAGGTTGATTAAGAAAGGTGTGACGGACCACCTGGCACCCCGACTGAGTACCTCCGCCAATCACTGCTTCCTAGTAGCCTGGAGTACTATAAGCTTGACTGGGGTCTCGCTGTCCTCCATCCACCCTGAGCCCAAGCCCAGGATTCAGCTTCCAGCAAGTCTAGCAGGTATAGCTCCTATAAGTTACAGTATGAACTATAGCCAGTATAGCAAGCCGAGGCAGGTATAGCTGTTCCCTACAATCACGAGACGAGGCTGTGTGTTGAGGGTGAAGTGAAACTATTTTAATGGGACCACACTTGGCCTTTTATGACAATCCCCATGCAAGGCGAACTCCCCCCTGGACCACAGTAGAAACAAATACGCAATCACATTGGCTCTCAGATCCAGGACACTCCCAAACAAACTAGGTCAATCCCTCCTCTGTACCTGGGAGATAATTTAGTCAAGAACTGTACTAACTCAATTATCTCCAGAGACAAAAAACACAAATTTTTATAAAACCCCCAAAATACTTTTAAAACATACAAACTCCCCACAAAAGTTACATCCCCTGATAGCCCTGGTCTTGGTGAACAACATATCCAAAAGTCACCCAGATCGGTTCAGGAATTTCCTGGTAGTCATAATTTTGGTCGACCGCACGCATGGTCCCATGCCACAAACAGTTCCATAGAATCGCGGCTAAGTGCCGCTGGGGGACCGACCGGCAACCGCCACACCGAAATTAGTTCCATTCGCGGCTTCAGTCCATGCGAACGGTTGCTAGTGAGCTAGCGTTCGGTTCTATGGAAAGTGCTGAACTATGGGGATGTCAGGTACTAGTTGAACCCGCAAGCAGAACTGTATCACACCTTGGATTAAAGTGAACGTCTTACCGGGCCTTAGAATGGCCGGACTTAACGTACCAAAGAATAGTCAGAATACTTGCCGAGGTTGGGGACACAGAATGAGACACAATGATGAGGTAAAGCCAAAAGTCAATGATACCAGAATACAGGAAAGTCAAAACGAAGCCAAAGTCAAAACCAGAAAATAAACGCTCAGGAACACACTCTCGGACAACCACTAAGGAAACCACGACAGGGCAATGAGCTAAAGGAATAGGTATGTTAGATAACCCTCCTGTGGATCCGCTTCGCCATAACCGACCTTTGACCCCAGAACATGCGTGCGCATCCTTTCACGTCATTAACGTGGGCGGACGTGGGATTGCAAATGAGAATGGATCCGCAGCAGCCGGCGTCTTTTAACAGGATTCAGATACATCGGCACAGGGCTGCTGAGTAGCACCTCTGTTAATGCCAGAAAAGCATTTGCCATTACAGGCACCACCAGGTAAGGAGGAACATGTGACATTACCCCCCACCTGAAGACCGCCCACCAGACTTGAGGGAGAACTTGGCAGGACCAGACTTGAGGGAGAACAAATCTTGCGACCAGCATGAATATCAGAAGCCGGAAACCCAAGAACATTCGGCCGGCCCATACCCCTTCCAATCAACCAAATACTGTAATGAACCACGAGAAAATCTGGAATCGACTATAGAAGAGACTTCATACTCCTGTCCAGAAACAACCAACGGGGGAGGTGGAACACTTGGAACAGTATACCTATTGCAAATAAGTGGTTTGAGCAAAGAAACATGAAAGGAATTGGTAATACGTAAGGAGGCAGAGAGGGCCAGAGAATAAGAAACAGGATTAATCCTCCGAAGGATACGAAATGGACCAAGGAACTGGGGGCAAACTTCATACTAGGAACTTTCAGTTTCACTGTGCACGATGATAACCACACCCTCTCGCCCACTTGGTAAACAGGGTTGGCACCTTGCCGTTTTATCAGCATAAAACTTGAAACGATCAGCTGCAGTCCTGAGAGCGGCGTAAACTTTGGTCCAAGTATCACAAATAGAAGCAAGGTGATCATCCAAAGCAGGGATAGATGTGTCAGGAAAATCTCTAACTACAGATACCTACTGTGCTGGTAATATTCTTGTACACCGTTCCTGGCTTGCATTTTTTACATATTCCTGGTATATTTTAATATATTTTGTCAATAAACTGGTTTTTACTTTTACCCAGTTTCAAGTACCTAATTCTTTTAAGTGACTTTCAGCAATACCTTATAGGCATTGCACCGCAGAAAACAGTCCCATATACTGTTCTTTCTGCCTTCTATGGTTTATATCTTTTTTTTAAAAGTATATTATTTGGTGTATATTTCATCTATTCTGCCCATAGCAGATTTAAAGACATACACACCACATATATTTGCTGCACTTTTACTCTCCAGACACAGCTGCAATTGTCAAGTTTCTTTTTACTATTCTATATTAATTTCTCTCAAGTGGTTTTTAGCGATACTCAGCACATATTTCATTGCAGAATACAGTCCCATATACTGCTTTTTCTGCCTTCTATGGTTTAAATCTTTTTTACAAAAGTATATCATTTGGTGCATATTTCATTTGGTCTGCATATAGCAGATTTAAAAAGACATACACACCATATACATTTGCTGCACTTTCTAGATTCATTCCCATTTATTTCAACCGCTACTCTTTTTATACAGTATTACATGGTTACTCTTTTTAATTTATTTATTTTTTAGTCTATCTTTCAAGTACCTCTGTTATTGCACTCAAGCCATTATGGTTAGCTAGCTCCTGGAACACACACCACATTCATGGATTTATTAATGCCTGAATGTCCAGCAGTTACATTGTTGTGAAACACCCTCATGACATTCTCTCTTTCAGTCAACGGAACAAACAATTTATCTAGTGGTTTATTGCATGGTGCCTGGGACTGAGCCTCCATGATAGCACCAAGCAAAGGGGATTATAAGGAAAGAACAGTGGAAGCAATGATACACTCAGGTGGAACATTAGGGGATGTCTCTTGTTCTGGTACTGATTCGGTGTCAAACTGTCTAGATAAGGCGTCCACTTTCACATTTTTGGAACCAGGTCTGTAGGTTATAAGAAAGTTAAATCGAGACAGGAACAAAGACCATCTAGCCTGTCAAGAAGACAGTCGTTTAGCATCCCATATATGGTCAGTAATTCTTGTGGTCAGTAATGATCAACAGGAAGTCCTTTGAACCCTCTTAAAGATGTCACCAGTCTTTAAGCGCTAGTATAATGGCCAACAATTCCCTGCTGCCAATATCATAATTACGCTCGGCCGGAGACAACTTTCTAGAGAAATACCCACATGGATGCAAAGGGGTATCCTGACTCTTCCTCTGAGAAAGAACAGCCCCCACCCCAGTTTTGGATGCATCAACCTCCAGTAGGAAGGTTTTGCTGGTGTCAGGTTGTATCAAAATGTCGGCTGAAGCAAAACAAATTTAAGAAGTTCAAAGGCTTCCTTAGAAAATATCGTACTGCTAGCTAGTGTGTCATATTGGTGATGGGGAAGAGAAACCCTTTGATAAATCTCCTGTAATAATTAGCAAACCCAATAAACTTTTGGATTGCTTTTAGTCCATTGGGCAATGGATCGATCTGAAAACCAGAGGCAGAAATGTTATACCCCAAAAACTGTACCTCAGTCTGGTCAAAGATGCATTTTTCCAGTTTGCAATAAAGTTTATTTTTAAGTAAAGTTTGCAACACTTGTGTTACGGTTGCCTCCAGGCTAGCTGAAAGTTAGGAAAGAATGCTCCTAGCGCTCACCAAAGGACCATCAGCACCGTAGACACCATAACTACTGCAGACTCCACGAACCGCCGCTGCTGGGCTGGGATCTCGTCGTCTGCTATCCGCCTTGGACCTATGACCAGGCTCCAGGTTCCAGTAGGTGAACCTCTTCCTTCTGTAGAGCGAAGCAGGATCAGGAACAAGAGCTCTTACAAGAGCTCAGTAGCTAAGGGAGTATGCAGAGCATAGCAATCCCTGTAGTGATTATAGCTGTCTCCTACAAACACGAGTCGAGGCTGCAAGTTAGAGGTTCAAGTAGTTGTTTAATCAGCCCCAAAGGGCTTTCTTTTATGCAGGTTTTACACACATAGTATCAACCACAGGGTTTTGTAGAACAACCAATTAAACACGTATTATACAGTAACACACTCCCATTCATTCCCACAAAATACTCCCCTCTGCCTGTGATATAATTACTGTACACAATGGGTTAATGTAGTTATCACAGGCAGGAAAAATATACTTTTTACACATTTACTATAACTTTAAAACTATACATCCAGTCTCCATATTCTTACTCAGCATACTTCAAATACAAACATACTCAAATTTCAGGCAATTCTCTCCAGTAGTTAAAAAGTTAGCTGGAAGTCCTTTGTGACCGACCGCAAGCATTCTTTCCTCCCCAAAACAGTTCCATAGATTTGGGCTGTGCGGTCGGTCAATTTTACACTGAAAAAATGACTACGTCCTAATCTCCGAACCGGACTTAGATGTTGCGGCTGAAAACTGAGTGGAGGAGAAGGTAAGGGTCAGCGGTGTTCGCGTAAATGTGTAGCCAATTTCAGTTCCATGGATTTGGCTGCACACACCGCTGACCGCGTTCGACTGAATAAAGATGGCCACCGCCACGTGTTCGTTTGTACGAACGGCGGCCACCCAGCGGTCGGCAATTTACCTACAGCAGCCTCCCAGCCTGGGAGGTAAATTAGCCGCACACTTCCACTTTTGTGTGTTCCGCCTGTGTAATACTTGGTTCAGTAAGCCCCATTTACTGAACCAAGTGGGAAAAAGGCACGAACAAGTTATTTTACAGGTCTGGGAACATAGTCTTAAAGGGGCATTGTTCACCAAAGTCACAATGTGCCCACAGATGGTTCTTAAAGGGCCATACACATCAGGGCCATAGTCATGAGGAAGGAGGCTGGCAATTAGGCTTCTCCATAATCCAGGGGAACATGGCAATTTGTCACTTAAAGAAACAGTGACAAAAGACAGTTTGTAACAACTTGTTTAACATGTTTGTGGTGAGTCTGAAGGTCAGGGGAATAAATAAGGATATCATCCAGGTAAACTAAGACAAATGAATAAATATAGTCCCTGAGTACATCTTTAAAAAAGTCCTGGAACATGACCGGAGCATTGCATAACCCAAAGGGCATAACAAGGTACTCATAGTGCCCACTTCTAGTGTTAAATGCCATGATTTTCCTTAATCCTTACCAAATTGTATGCACTCCTGAGGTCAAGTTTAGTTAAGACTTTAGCACCCTGGAGTACCTCAAACAATTCGGAAATGAGGGGAATGGGATAGGCATTTTTAAATGGCAATTTTGTTTAGTGCACTATAGTCAATGCATTGACGTAATTCTCCATCTTTTTTAGATACAAAAAGAACCCTGCACCAGCAGGCGAGGATGATTTACGGATGTGGCCCTTACTTAGGGAATCTTTGACGTATTCATCCATTATTCTACTCTCCTGTGATGATAAGGCATACACTGCTCCCTTGGGTGGCAGATTTATGGAGCAGTTATAAGATCTGTGAGGAGGTAGAATATCGGTCTGACTCTTACTGAATACCCCCTTAAACTCCCAGTATTGTATGGGAACCTCAGAGACCTTTATAGGTATAGAATGTTTTTTGACAAAATGTACATCAATGAAGTTTCCTGCCGCACCTGAGTAGATCAGGGCTTTGCATGAAAAGTTCTTCTGATTACAATCGGATGAAATATCAAGGAGGAATCTATTTTTGTTATCCCCAGAGGACGTTTCCATCACACCTAAGACCTGTCCTTTTTTACCGCAGTATAGATATAGACCCTCTTTTCTTCTATATTGTCTTTCTGCCTCTGACAGTCTATTCATCCCCAACTGCATAGGTTCAGGATTGGACTGCACGTAGAGGTCAGGAACAACAGGTCTGGAGAAACGAAGTGCTAATGACAGCCATATGTCTGGTTCTATTTCTGGTAATTTCTCTGGTTCTAAGTCTGTTATCAATCTGCATGACAAGTGTGATAAACTCATTTAACCTTTTAGGTAGGTCTTTGGCAGCAATTTCATCGAGAATAGTCTCGGATAATCCTTTTTTAAATGCAGAGATTAACCCGCTATTAGTCCAGGCTACCTCAGATGTAAAGGTACTAAATTCTATGGCGTAATCTGAGATAGACCGGTTCCCTTGTTTGATATGAATTACGGCAGTGGAAGCCTCATCCTCCCTGCCTAATGGTTCAAATGTTAATTAGAATTCCGCAAGGAATTCCTGGTAGTTGTATGCAATACTCCTATTGCTCTCCCATAAAGGATTGGCCCAACCTTTAAGTTGGTTCATTAGGTAACCAATCTTAACTCTATCAAAGGGAAAAGAATCTTGGTGAGGCTTCAAAATGGTACTCAATTTGATTCAGAAATCCCCGGAATTCTCGAATATTACCATCAAAATGCATGGAGGAGATAGGGAGATAGCAGGTGCCATATGTACTATAGGTAGAGGTACATTAGGCAGGGGTGACAGTCGGGGAAACCTGAGGCTGTAAATGCGCTGTTCAAGTAAGAAGCGTACTGAAAGCCTGGGCAAACTGATCCATATGGTGAGCATTCTCCTCTAGCTTTCTCTCGCAAGCTGCTATGTGGTGACACAGTTCTGCAAGATCTATGGCCATGTTGTAATGTCAGGGTACCAGTTGATCCAGCACGCAGAACTGTATCACACCTAGGACTAAAGGTAACGTCTTACCAGGCCTTAGAATGGCCAGACTTAATGTACCAAAGAATAGTCAGAATACTTGCCGAGGTCAGGGACACACAATGAGACACAATGATGAGGTAATGCAAAAAGTCAAGGATACCAGAATACAAGGAAGTCAAAACGAAGCCAAAGTCAAAACCAGACCAAAAACGCTCAAGAACACACTCTCGGACAACCAATAAACGAAACCACGACAGGGCAATGAGCTAAAGGAATAGCTACGTTAAATAACCCTCTTGTGGATCCGATTGGCCATAACCGGCCTTTGACCCCAGAACGTGCGTGTGAGTTCATGGTGTGACGTTACGCGCACGTCAACGTCGTCATTAATGTGGGAGGATGTGGGGTTACAAATGGGAATCAATCCACAGAGGTTGGTGTCTATTAACATGCCGTAGGATTCAGATACATCGGCACAGGACTGCTGAGTAGCACCTCTGTTAATGCCAGAAAGGCATTTGACATTATGGGTACCACCAGGTGAGGATGAACATGTGACAGGGGAATAAAATATGGCTCTTTAGAGTCGCTGATCTGGCCCATAGTCTTTTGGCAGGAGGCTGGCAAGCAGGCCCCTCCAAAAGCCTGTGGCAAGGTTCTGTTCGACACAGAAGGGTTTTATTTGCACACAGTACCTTTTAAAAAAAAAAATGTTGGTCTGTCCTTTTGCATATGTTTTATGTAATAAACTAAAAGTAAAAGCTAGGCATTAAACGTTACTTACCACTGATTTTGTGTGTGTGTGTGTATATATTTGTTAGAATGGTGTGTTATAAGGGAACATAAAGTTAGTTACTAATTTTTTTTTTTTATTTCCTGATCATTTAAAAAAAAAAATAGGTTTAAATTAAGTCTTATTCACCTGAAACCTAGCACTGGGCACTGTTTTTCACGCCCCCACTGTCATGGTAGCAAATGTGCGGTTCATTCAAATGAATTTTAAAGACCATTTAGCCAACTCAAAGCGCGTGCCCTGAGCTGGCAAGCGGAAGGAGTGGGAAGTTTTAAATAAATGAACATCTATGGAAAAGAAAGACTGATCATTTAAACAGTTATTGATATGACCTTAATAGACAGTTGGCAAACCATAGTGTGAAAGTACATATATGTTGAAGTTTACTCTGGGGATGATGCAGATAAATTGAAGCAGACCTTGCACTGTTTATGCAATCCAGGCATGGCGCATGGTGTGCTTTTATATGGAAGGTTGTTGCCACAATGGTAAATCCTAAAAGATAACAGGACGCTGAATATTTTGTTTTCTGTCTAAAGTCATAAATTGGCAGACTGTACGATATGGTACTGTTGGGTATCTTAATATTCTGTGCAAGCTGGTTAGAAGTACAACATATACATTTGAAATCCACTTAGAATTCCCAAAAATTCTCGCTTACAGGTTTATTACCTGCAATATTTTCTTTTTTCCCTGTCCCAGAGGAGTTCAAACTATCTCTTTGGGAGACTACAGGACATGGCACCACTTCAAGGGCAACATCCCCTTTAGCTACTGGAGAGCAGAAGCTGCAGTAACCTTGTACATAGCTGCATGGTCAGTAAGAAAATGGGTAAATCCACAATTTTACTGGGACTAGTGAATAGCGCATGGGAAAGCCAGGGACCGGGAAGTTTGTTTGAGATTTTTGTAGGCTTGGGAGAAGCTGGGGGATTTGGTGGCCCAATCTGTCTATGTGTGGCAGTCTCCAAACTCCATTCCTGTTTTTACATTGAACAGCAGCTCTGTTCTGAAGTACATCATTTGTGCATTAAGGTATTTTTCCTTTATTTTTTCCAGTGGAGTTTATGCTAACTATTTAATTTTGGCACAGGTCATAGGTAGGATATGGATTTATTCTATCTTTATGTATTATATAAATTTGCAGATACATAATTTGCAGCTGTCCAGGAGTCCCTTTCCAATTTTAAATTGGATGAATTTTGTGCACAAACATCGGTAGACTTGGCCCGCTCTTTTTCAAAATCAGTAGATAGGTAGGCGATCACAGAGCATTGTGGCTTAAAGCATGGGATGCTAACACCTCATCCAAAAAGGTCTGTGTACCCTGCACTTTTCAGGTAATAAATTATTTGGGAAACGGCTCGATGACTGACTGTATCAAGCTTGCAGCAGAAGGTAAGACAGCCATGTGACAAAAGACTGAGAAGATCTACTGATTCTAAAAGTAGGTCCTTCTGGCGCTCTCGCCAATACAGACCTGCAAAGGAATCCTCTAGATCTCCGCCATTAAAGGGCAGCCGATCAAGAGATGGATAGGTAAAGGGGCATTTTCACACGAGAACTGAAAGTTTTGATTGGATGCAGGTCCAAGCGCCAAAGGTGGGCACCTATCTGCTCCAATTTGTAGAAGTTTTGGTCCAGCAGGTGGTTGTCGAAAGGATATTGCTTGGAATTTCAATTTCACCCTCTAGAGAATTTTTCATTTCAAATCCACTAGGGAATCTGAGGAAATTCATAAAATAATTTTCTTCCATGACTGAACAGAGCATCATCCTTCCAGTCCCCAAACTGGTAAGATTCTCCAAGGGTTTTATTCTCTTAGGCTCCTGGCTCCCATGGAAGTATACATTTGGAGGCCTTTTTGGGATTTTTATGTGCTAAATACATACTTGCGTTAAGAGGATTCAGGATAAAATGGAGTTGTGTCTTCAGAGGATTGGATGTTGTTGATTGATCTGAAAGATGCCTACTTTCACGTTCCCATTGCCAGAAGACATTATAGGTATCTCAGTATTTGTGTTAAGGGGAAGCATTTTTAGTTCTGGGACTTATCCTTCAGTCTCAATTCAGCACCCAGAATGTTCACAAAGATTCTGGTGTTTAGGGTTGCAGACATCAGATTGGAAAAATAGAAGTGTTCCACTACTTCAAAGAACCAGTCTGATCTGTTGTGTCATCAGGACAGAGTGCTGACGATGTTGCAAAAACAAGGATGGGGTGTGAATTGGAACAAGAGTCAACTTTCTTCACAAGCCATAGTCTATCTATGGCAGGCTTCCCCAAACTCTGGTCCTCCAGATGTTGCTGAACTACTACTCCCATGATTCTCAGCCTATTTCATTAATAGAATCATGAGAGTTGTAGTTCAGCAACATCTGGAGGGCCAGAGTTTGGGGAGGCTAATCTATGGGCTCATTTCAACACCGGGATAAGGATGGTGAGACTATAGACAGAAAAAGGAATCAAGCTAAAATAATCTTTCAGTTTGTCAAGGTCACAGCTCAAACATATATGTGCCTCTCATGTACCATGTCCTCAATGATTAGCATCATGAAATGGGTTCAGTATGATCTATGCTGTCCTCTGAAAGCTTTCCTAGCCAAATACAAGTTTTAGGACCTAAATAAACTGATCGTTATCCCAAGCAGCGTAAAGGTAGCCCTGAAATGGAGCTCTACAGGATGAAAACCTCTTTCAAGGTTTTTCACTAGAAATGCTCCTGTGGGTCACAGTAATTACAGATGCTTGTCTGAAAGGATAGGGGCCCATCTGGAAGTTGGAGAAGTTTCAACCCAGACCCATTAGATGGATATTGGAGGATGTTTCTATCAGCCATCCAGGGATCAGCATTGGGGAAGTTGATTACCTCAGTCGACATTGTCTCCATCCAGGGGAATGACTGCTGAGCTGACTCCTTGTGCTTTCAGGTTGATTGTTCAATTATAAGGACTGCCTAATGAAGACGCATCCAACAGGCAGCTCAATAATTTTTTTTGAACATTTCATCCACAGACAGAAGCATCTGGAACTTCTAGAAGGCATGTTTCCTATATTTCCTCTCATATTCAAGCTTCTTTTGAGGATTTAACAACAACGCAAGGAGGTCCAAGTAGTGTTATAATTTTGGCCCAGGAGGCCTTGGGTCCCTCTGTTATGGAGTCTGTACTTGGAACCTCTTCTTCATCTCCTGTAAGACCCAATAATTCTAGTTCAGGGTCCACTGTTGCATTAATCTCCCCAGTATTTACACCTAGTGGTTTGAAAGCTGAAAGGAGATTATTGAGAGATAAGGGGTTTTCTGAAGAAGTAATCCATATGATACGTTAGGCAAGGAAGAGGTCCACATCGTCTTCCTATAACATGTGAAATATCTTCTGTAAATGATCTATCCAACATGATGTATCTATAGTTTCCCTATCGCCAAAAGATTTGATAAAGGTTTGAGTATGAATATTATAAGGTTCAAGCAGCTCTTTCTGGAATCGGGCTGTGGATCAGATGTGGCCAGATTTTTCACAGCCATACTATGTGTCCAACCACCAGCCACATCTTCTACAACTTCATTAGACTTTCCTCTGGTTTTATCAGCCTTAAAATCTGCACTGATCGGAACTGGCAGCCTTAGCAGTAGACATACCTTACCTATCTTTTCATTATGACAAAGCAATTCTTAAAACTGTTCCTCCCAAGGGTGGTTTCTAGTTTCCACTTGAACTAGGACATTGTGCTGCCTAGTTTCTTTGCTTCTCCATTTTCCAATGCAGAGATCATCCTACATAAATTGGATGTGGTTCGTTGATTGAGACATTATGTTACCCCCTCCCAGACATTCCCTCAGCTCTCTGGAATTCCTTTGGGACCAGACAAAGGTGAACAAGCATTGGTCCAGACCATCCTCAAGTGCTTAACGCACACTCTACTTTCAGCATCCTGGACAGCAGCAGCAGCACAGATTCCGGCATATCAGGTTTGCAGAGCAGCTACCTTCTCAGAATACTTTCATTAGGCACTACAGCCTTGATGTGAGATCAACTAAAGGGTGCCCTTTTTAAAAGCTGTTCTACAAGCCTCTTCTGTTTAAATATATTTTTTCAGCAGTATGATGGTGTTGTGTGTTTTTTATTTCCCTCCCAGTATAGTTTGGTTGGGAAAGTCCTATCATTAGTTCTGCAGTGGCCATCACCAGGAAAACTGAAAATGTAATTTTTAATATTTTCTCTCGATAATGGGCCTCAACAGCACTGAGGACCCACCCTGCTTCTGTTGCTTTTTAACAATCTGGTGGGGATTGTCTGGTGGGAGGAGCTTAACCCTATTGTGAGTGCTGCTGTGACCCATTATCGGGAAAGGAAAATATTGGTTAGTAGACGTTAATTTTCCATTTCTTCTCTGCGCCAGGTGCATAGGACCAAAAACAATAATTGAAAGGGTGCTAAAAGGGCCCCAGTTGCAGGATAAAATAATGTGGATTTCTATACTTGATTTTACTTTATATATTGTTTTAACTATAGTGATAAGTGAACATAATATTAAAAATCCTCAGATGGGATACTTACTCTTTAAATTACGCATATGGTTAGCTTTGGAATCTTCATATTAGTCATTTGACTCCACATATAGCTCACCATAGTGCTAAAAGCTAATTTGTAAAATCTTTAATCTAAATTAAACGTAAGCCAAAATGTCACAACATTTTGCTATCTG